TCAGCCCAATTGATAAATTCTATTTTATCCACTTGAGCTCAGTTCCATTTTAACTTTGCCAAATATTTTTTTGCCTCACAGCAAATAAGCTTGTTTTGAACTTTGGCCATCTCTAGGATGTTATCAGCACTTAACAAATATTTTGCTTACACATTAGGAACCTAACTATTCTTACACAATATCAAGTATCTTGAGTGTGTGTGTTTGTGTGACCTTTTTTTTGAGTGCATGCATGTACATGCTTGTGTCCACTGGATCCTTCCCCAAATGTTTCTAATGGCCTGGCTGAAGCCACAGCTGGGAACTCCATCAGGTCTCTCTGTGGGTGGCAGGCCTGTGACTACAGGATCCATCACTGCTGCCTCCTAAGATCTCAATCGGCAGCAAGCTGGAATCAGGAGCCAGATCCAGAAACCCACCCAGGAAATTCAAAGTGGTATGCACACATATCGACTCATATCTTAACTGTTAGGCTAAATCCTAACCCACCATGCATTTTGTTTTAATTACTCCAAAAGAGTAATATAGAGAGTTCTTCCATTTGCTAGTTCAATCCTCAGATGTTTGCTACAGCCAAATCCAGGTCAGGCCCAAATTAGGAACACTATTATGGTCTCCTTAATATTTCACAGAAAGCTGGATCAAAAGTAGAGCAGCTAGGGCCTGGCAGAGTGGCCTAGCGGCTAAAGTCCTTGCCTTGAACATGCCAGCATCCCATATGGGCACTGGTTCTAATCCCAGTGGCCCCCTTCCCATCCAGCTCCCTGTTTGTGGCCTGGGAAAGCAGTTGAGAACGGCCCAAAGCTTTGGGACCCTGCACCCATGTGGGAGACCTGGAAGAAGTTCCTGGCTCCTGGCTTCAGATTGGCATAGCACCGGCCGTTGCGCTCACTTGGGGAGTGAATCATTGGACGGAAAATCTTCCTCTCTGTCTCTCCTCCTCTCTATATATCTGACTTTCCAATAAGTAAATAAATCTTAAAAAAAAAGTAGAGCAGCTAATACTCAAAGTGGCACTCTGTTACTGGATGCCAGCAGCTTAACTTGCTATGCCATAAGACCAAAACAATTTCCCAATGTTCACATGTTTAAAAAAGATTTAATTACATGAAAGGTACAGTTGGAGGGAAGGAGAGGCAGAGAGGAAGATCTTCTATTTGCTAGTTCACTCCCCAGATGTCCCCCCGTGGCCAGGGCTGGAATATGCTAAGTCTATGATCCTGGAAGTCCATTCAGGTCTCCCACATGGATGGCAGAGGCCTTAGACTTGAACTGGTGCTCATTTGGAATGAAGGCATGGCAGGCAATGGATTAATCTGTGCCACAATACTGAACTTACATATTTTCATCTACTTGAAAGGCAAAATGACAGGGATAAATTTTTTTCCATCTGTTGGTTCATTGACCGAATGAATACATTAGCCAGGGCTCAGCCAAGCCGAGCCAGTAGCCTGGGGTTCCACCCAGGTCTCTTGCATGGATAACAGGGACCCAAGTAGTTGAGCCACCACTTGCTGCCTCCCAGGGTGTGCAGCAGCAGAAAGCAGGAATGAGGAGCAGAGCTAACACTCAAACCCAGACACTGTGATGTGGAGCATCTCAAGTGGCGTCTTAACTACTGTGCCAGACATCCATCCAGCCCCTGGTGAGTTACGATAACATGGAATAAACAACCTATCACACGTGGGGATTTTAATAACTTTGTTCTTGGGTTTTAACTGACTGTCAAAGAACTATGATGTGGGGATGTGCAGTTCAGCATCAGCAGTTTCCACTTGTTTCACATTCAACCAAATTACAGGGATTTTCTTCAAAAGCTGTCCAATAGCAGAGTGATCTCGCTCCCTTAATGACTATGTCTGTTCATGGGTGTGAACTCTTAAAAAGAACACAGTAAAACAAAAGGTAAACCAGAATGTCATTTATTAATACAAATTCATATAGTGGTATATGCTATTGGAGAAATCCAAAATTCATAACACACAAATTCATATTAGAAATACAAAAATCATTTAGTGTCAAGAAATCAGGCTGACAGCACCACAAATGTTTTACTCAGTCTGAGCAGGTGTGTAGTATCTCAGAATAACAAATACCTATAGGAGACTGAGACTGAACATCATAAGATTGTGCAAACACATCCCAACAGTATTTCCCATCCAACAACAAAGAATCTACAGGAGTCCTCCAGGAAGCCTGGGGCACAACGCAAGGGCAGCAAAGCAGAAAAATAGTGCAGTCCATTCTTTCCTTTCAACCTGCACAGCCAGCAAGTGTTGGCAGGCAGCAACCCCAGAGGGCTTTTGTTCCTTCTTACCTGAAGGCAAGATACAGATGGTCAGTAAAAAAAAAAAAAAGAAAGAAAGAAAGAAAAGAAGACCACAAGGCATTAGCGAGCAAGTTACAGAAAATGAAATATCACCCTTGTTGTTTACCGAATTGTCAGAGTCCTAAAATGAGTGCAACACAGGAACAAATGGTTCTACACCAAATGGGTAAATCTCAACCCCACATGTCTTAACACTTCCTATTTAATAAGCGTGCATCCACTAGAGCAGTACTGGCATTCAACAAAGCATATGCAGCTGGGCGAAGGGTAGAAAGAATAGGAGGCAGTGATAGTCCAGGAGGGCTTTCCTTTTAGAGTTCACCGGGCCATCCCAGGGAGTTGCTTTGGTCGTGTCAGACTGTGTCCTGGAGGTTGCTAGGAGCACTCTGTGACTATATCAGCACTCTGTCACTATATCTCCACTCAGGAGCCTCACCCTGCCATGCACCTGTGTGCATTCTTCTCATGCCCATGTCCTGTTCAGTAGCAGTGAAAGAAGTTTGCAGGAAGTGTATGTAAACAAGTGGAAAGGTGTTGCTTTCATGTGTAAGCATTCTGGTACTTGGAGCACTTATCACTAGCTCAATGCAATGTTGCTATACCCGTGGTTGGTTCCCTGCCCTTATTCATCCACATTCACCCTCTAGGTTTTTCTGGTAAAGATTCTGTGCTGACCGATCAGCTCTCCAGTCATGACATATCAATTCTGATTATGTACAAAGATGCTCCCGAAGGTGGCCTAGGCTGATCTGAAGTAGCCCCTAACTATAGGAACTTGTAGGCTCACCCCCATTTGTCCATCCCCTCCTGAAAGCTTCCCACTCAGCTCAGAAAGCTGAGCCTTGTCTCTGAGGTTGAGTACTGATCCAGGCTCCCTTTATGCTAATACATCATTACAACTCTTCTCTTTCCATCTTCTTAAGGCCCCGGTCACATTCATGTCTATGTAAAGCAGTGTTTTGTCCAATTAGGTTTTGAAATTCAAGTAGAAGAGATTTTTTCCCCCACTCTACCCACCCTTATGAAATTACTACCATATTCTCACTTCCCCATCATGTTTGTCTTTCACTCATTCCATTACAGGTTCATTCACTCAACAAAATGTCTCTGGAGTGCTTGTTATGTGCAAGGCACTGCTAAAGAGTAAAAGGCATTCACACAGGTCCTACTTTTAAGGAGCTGGAGTCTGGGAGAGTTTTCTGAACCTTTTCACGGCTCATTCGTTTTAGTACCAAAGTGTTTTGTTTGGAATGTTCTTACAGAGCTTGAGTTGCTTGCTGCACTTTATACAAGGTGAATGCTGTTCTTTGCTCAGGGATCACGGTGTGTCATGCATCAGGAAGACACCACGCCTTTGTTTCTAAATAATGGAATTGTGTTCCAATTCAAAACACAACATGCATGCTTGTGTTCTTGTCAGTAAAGCAGAAATGAAAAACAAAAGCAAATTGTGTGCACACTACACACAAGTGTTAAGCTGCGATTTGGACACAAAGTCACTCAAAAGCTGCATATTTGACCTTGTCATGTGCTGATTGGGTCAAAATAAGTGCCTGAGCTACCAAAAAATAACCCCTCCCCCTCCCACACACTCCAAAAGGTAATTCCCTGAAGCACAGAAACAGGAAGAGCATTTCTATTTGCGGTGAGACGCACACACCAAGCAGAACAGTGTGGATCTGCCCATACTCTGACCTGGGAGATCTGCTAACTTTCACTTTCCTGAATCATTCACAAGAGTAGAAACTCACAGCTACAAAGCACTCACGGTCATGTATGACTAGACTGTGCCAAGCCTGGGGTGCAGCAGGATAGGGTGGTGAGTTTACTGAAGTGCCCACGGCAATACTGGCCACCAGGGCCATGGGGCTTGGATCTCACGTCTCAGGAGATTGTATGACAGTGAAAAGTGAGGACACGGCCTCGGGTGAAGCCCCTCACTAGTGTGTGCTGAAATGCTGGCCAGGCCCCTCCCTCCCTAGATCCCAGCCTCCCCTTTGTCAGGGGCAGAACGCTGTGCTAGAGTCTGGCAAAAAATGATCCAGGCTTTCTTCTATGGTTTGCAGAGAAGCTGTTCAATCCGAAGCACATGGAGACTCCCAAGGAAATGGGCTCTGGAAGTCAAAGAGCAGTGACGGGCTGTGGCAATGGCATGCCAGTGTAGCAATAGCTGCACTGAGCACAATTCTTAATGGAGTCTGGGTACTGGGGATTTGTCCACTGCTGTTGAAAAACCCAGGAAGGAGAAAGCTGGAGTGTTGGTGAAGCCAAAGGCTATGCAACACCCCTACTTTTCCAGACCATCTGCCATGGCCCAGACCCCACTGCTCTGACCACCACTGGCTACCCTTGTCTCAAACCTGTCCTGCTACTAAAATACCTGCTCTGAGATCAGCCATACAGAAGGAGCCGCTGAGGCTGAAGGGGTCCTCAGAAACAACTAGACCCGAACACCCTGGGAGTGAGGGGCAGGGGTTGTGACTCAGTGGTTCTTGGTTTCATGAGGTAGCTCAGTTGTGAGTTGATGCATGTGATGTGTGCCAGGTGCCACTCAAAGCTACAGTCTTCCCTTTTTTACATCTGCGAGATTACAAAAATACCAGTATTTCCCCTTGTTTCATATAAAAATGATTTTTTTTTTAGCAAAAATACACATGGGTCATATCCTCCGTTAAACTTCCGTTCCATCTTGTAGATTGTTGTGGACTCGGACTTCCAGATTCAGTTTCTTCACTTTCGCCCCTTTGAACGTGTATGCACCCTGCGTGTCACTGAGCAGGTTGACATTCCGCACGGTGCAATACTGTTTGTTGACGTTCTTCTCCACCCTGTCCAGGTTCCTCTTGGGCACCTCCACCTTGGTATTCAAGGGGTACTCCTCCAAAATGTCCTCTGGGGGTTGTTGCTTCCTCTCTTTCTGGCATTTCCTGGTGATAAAACAAGCCACCAAAAGCACCAGGAGGAGGAGCATGAGAGCAGCCAGGGCGCTGCCAATGGACGCCCCAGTTTGGGAGAGGGAAGCAGCCACAATGGGCTCCTGTCTCTCCAGGTTCAGGGATTTCATGTTGGTGCCATTCTTGACTTGGTCCCCCTCATTGTCATAGATGAGAGAATCATCAAGGGTCAGTCGGCCACTGGGGTCCACCAGATCCCTTTGGTGGCGCCTCACGGTGGCTGTGAGAGAGCGCTGGACCCGGGGCCCTGTGATAGTGTCTGGACCAATGATGTAGATCACCTGGAGGTACCACTGGTGTCCCGCCTCCACCTGCCCAGAAGAGAAATGGGAGACAAACCAAATATGTCACTTTGGTCTACAGACTGCTCTAGAAGAAAGGAAATAGAAAGACAGACCTAGGTGGGGACATGCTTTCAAGAAGAGTGTTTATTAACATGTGTGAGCCAAGTATCGGGTTCTCTTTTATTTCCAAAGTCGGATGAACTTGGGTCACCTATTCATTATTTTCTATTCCACTACCTGTGTATGGAATAGCCTAAGCATTTGTCTTTCATTCTCAAGCTGAGTGAATGTTAAATATTTGTCAGCACTGCAATAATAGAATTGGTAACCACACATACTCCTAGTGACTTCCAACTGTTTTATTCTAGTTTGCTACTTTTGGATTTCAGCTAAAATAGACATTCACAAAATGTTCACTTAACACCTACTCTGTAAAATGTAGATTCTCGACAAAAGTTCACTAAATTGGAACAATTCCTAAATCACCCCCTGAGAAGTGATATCAAGTATTCATTTTATTTCCCTTTCAGCTGCTCCACTGAATCCTTCCATGGTTTTAAAATGACTTTTAAAGTTGTGAAATCTAAAGTTCTGGATTTTTTTTTTGAGAAAAGTAAAAATTAAGTCATAAAAGCTCATGTTTATTGCTGGCATTTAGGGTATTTTTTGTGTATCAAATTCTGTTCCAAAAGGCTGCATTGGAATGAATTTGTTATACATGCTCCATAAGTATGTGAAAACTGCGTGGCTCAGCATAGAGCCAACATTTTTAAAAGTTAAGAACAATTGGAATTGCCATGCAGGCCTGCTGCCCACAATATAAATTAAGCGATTTATTATTGTTTTGGTCTATTGAGGGCAAATGATGACAACCGTGGGTGAATGGTAAGTTTAATGACAATTAAAAAGACCTGTCAGCAAGACTGCAATAAACATAAAGGGAAATCCAGAGGCGATATGGTCCTGCTGTCGCAAGCTCTCTGGTAGACTGGGGCCTAAGTATCTCTCCTCCGCGCTGAACCCACCTTATAGAGAGCGTCAACTTTGAGAGTGAAGCCGTCCACACCTGGCATGCTGCTGACCATGTGGAAATCGGGCAGCTCGGAAGCAAAGTGGGCCTCAAAAGGCACATCATGGAAGTACTTATCGGTTACCTCTGGCTGACTGCGGTCCTGAAATTGCAGAAAGAAAAACACACATGATTTAGGAAGATTCTGAGACTGTGTATAAGATGGCAGGCCTGCGGAAGACAAAAGCCACTCTCTACTCTCTGGCGTGGGTGTGGGCAGCAGGTGCTGTGGCCACTTTTCTCATGACTGTGTTTCAGGAATACTCATCCCCTGTGACCCCGACACAAAACGAGTTGGGCAGCCCTGATCATTAATTCACAAGCTAGAAGCAGACTTCTGGGATCCCCCGTTGGCATGCCAGTTAAGCCTGGCTCCTCTGCTTCTGATCCACAGCTTCTTGCTCATACGTCTTGGGAAGGCAGTAAAGATGGCCCAAGTGTTTGGGTCTCTGCTGCTTCTGATGGACTTGGCCTGGCTCAGATTTTGTGATGTGGTATGAGTGAATCTCTGAATAGAAATCTCTTCCCCTTTTTCTCTTAGTTGGTTTCTCTGTCTTGGGGTCTGTCTCCATTTGTTCCATATAAGTAATCTTACACTGCCACCAAAACAGGTCTATTTTCCATGAGCTTTTCGAAGTATTGGGTCTTATGATTCCTGACACAGTTAAAAGTTGAGGAACCGAAGATTTGTTTATATGACACTTCTATCATTAGTTACTGTGTTAGCAAATCAAAGCTCAAAAAATGTTTAAAATGACCATTATATCTCAGTGTTAAGCGAAAATATCTTTGTTCCCTTCACTACAGTGTAATGCATTGATGTATGCTCTAGTAAATTTCTGAGAAATTGATTTTTACAAATGCTATGTTCAGTCTGTATAATTTGAAGCTCTTAAAGAATTTGTTTTTTACTTGAAAATCAGAAGTCAGAGTTCATGTGGGAGAGAGAGAGAGAATGAGTTTTCCTTCTGCTGGAAAATAGCCACGATGTCCACAGCTAAGCCATCTCAGGCTGGGAGCCAGGAGCTTCTTTAGGTCTCAAATGTAGGTACAGGGTGCCTTGGACCATCTTCTGTTGCTTTCCCAGGCCATTAGCAGGGAAATGGATAGAAAGTGCAGTAGCTGGGACTAGAATTGGTTCCATATGTAGGACCAACCCCGCAGATGGAGGATTAGTTGATGCACCACCACATCGGCCCCGTATGCAGTTTTGAATGAAGTTATACACCTCTTCCAAGGGATACCTGCTCTTGCACAGCTTACATTGTTGAAAAAGGTAGGAATAGATTCAAATAATCTCTTTAGATATCAAAACCCTTTGAAACAAAACTATGTAAATGTCTTTTTTAAAAGATAAGTTGTAACAATGTTCTCATATTTGCTATACTTATGAAGAAATTAAGTGTGAAAAGGCAGAGATTTTTATAAGGAAAATAATACTTTTGTGGACTTCCTGACATGATTAGGGATTTACAAAAGAATTTTTTTAATGTTTTAAAATTTACTCAAGGGAGAGCTCTGATCTGTTTGTTCACTCCCTTACTGCTTGAATCAGCTGGGTAGAACCAGGAGCCAAGAACTAAAGCCAGGTTTCCCACATGGTGGTATCGGGGTGATGGCATGTGTTGCTTCCAAAGATTTGCATTGAAAAAAAGACTGGGAGTGGAAGCTGGAGCCAGGGATCAAACCCAGGTACTCCGACACAAGATGTGGGGTCTTAGTCAGCTAAGCTAACTGTCCACCTTGTCTGGGCCATACTTTGAGAAACACTAGCCTACCTAGAGTTCCTTCTTCCTGGGACATTAATAGGAGCTTGTTGTGTTCCCTACCATGGTGTTTTGCAATGTGTACAAGTACTCAGCTGACCAGAGAGACACCAGAACTACTAAAAGAAAAGCAGAGTGGTGCTGGAGCTGTTCTGGGCAGCATCCACGGCTGAAGAAATGCATGAGGGCATCGTTTCTTTAACAATAGCAGCATGCATACCAACAGCAGGAATCTGTGTTTCAAGTGTTTGTTGGGTTGAATGCATCCATATTGGGGCCCTTCATTGTAGACAGTCCCCGTGGGATCAAAGAAAGGCACATAGCCATCTTTGCCAGTGCACAGATAAACTTTCTCCAGCTGGAGCTTGTAAGCAGAATTAAGGTTTTGTTCCGGATTCCAGAGGACTCGGCCATAGAGGATTTGACCTGAAAAGATGAAAGGACAATGTCAAGGGTAGAAAGGGTTTAACATACCCTCTTACAGTTGGAAGTACCTCAGGAGGAAGAGCTCTATGACCCCTTGTGGCCCTAAGATATGCATTCATTTATTGTCTAATTGAATAAGAATTGATTAAGCACTTAAGCTATACCAAGCACTGGTTTACACACAAGGGACACAGAGTTGCAGGAGATGCCGTTGAGATGACAAAAAAAGACAAAAAAAATAGCTTATCAAATTATTTCAGGAACTATATTGAGTCCTTCACATGTAGTCATAGTGTTCTCAGCTTCATATATGAGGAAACTGGGTCACCAAGTAGCTAAGAGACTTAACGAAAGTCACAAAGTCAGCAAGTAGTAAGGGTAGGATTCAAATTCAAAATACTAACTTGGCTGAATGACCCACAGCAGTATGTTACATACCATAATAGCAGAAGGTGTATCATGTCCAGTGAGCACAAAGCCAAATACACAAATCTGCTTAAGAATGGCTATGAAAGCACCAAGGATAAATATTTGGGAGTATCTTGAAATCAAGATAGACAAATTTCAGAGCATTTAGGAGAGAAGACTAGAGCAGAACATTCTAGACAAAAGAAAATCTAGGAAAAGTTCTGAAAATTAGAGGATTGTGAGCCTTGGTGTAGGAATTATTTCTTTTATGTCTGCCACAGCGCCTAGTTCTTTGCCTCCACCATCTTATTTAATCCTCTCAAGAGCCCAAGAGGTAGATTCTGAGTGTCACAGCTAAGATCCCACAGTCATGAATTAGTGGGAAGGGGATCTGAGCCAGTGTTCATTTAAACATTGACCGTATAGAGATCTAAGAAAGTTAGTATGGCTTGGGGTGCAGGAAGATGTGTAGAGGGTGAGATAGTCTGTCTTCCCTTGGGTGTTTCCTAATTGCATTGATCTGATCATCTAAGTAACATACTGTTGAAGCTTATAAGGCAGGGGAGTAAGAATTCCACCCCTAGACTTCAGGAACAGAGTGGAGCAAAGTTGAGGGGAATTGAGTCACAGGGACTGTATGGGCTTATTCTAATGTTCTAATGAGACATGGTATCTAAAACACAATTGTAAGGCAAGGGATGGATTCTGAAGATACTCCGGAGTCCTACTCAATTAACCTGTGTACAGGTGTGATGTTGGTGGGGCTGGCAGTGGACAGCACATGCGAAAAGCACTCATTTTGGAGGAAAAAGTCCAGTCCTAGGCAACTATGGATGGCCTCCCTCTTGGAGAGATTCAGCAATTACAGGTCCACTTGTGGAATCCTAGAAAGAAAGCTCAGGGGAGATTAAAGATGAGGCCAGATTTTATGGAATGGCTGTGGAGTAGTAGCGATCTAGGGATATCAGAGCAAACAAGTGATCTGAATTATGGGATAATCAGACAGTGCTCAGAGGAGCCAAGCATGGCATGTGAGAACACAAGCATGGAAGGCCAAAGGGCAGAGACTCTGCATAGGTGAGGGAGAACTGAGCTAAGAGGCCACATGGTGTACAATGAAGATGCCTAGGAATCCAAATAGGAAACATGTCAAAACACATGGTTTAGGTGTCCTTGACAAGACAATCCTTGATCCTTGGTAGGAAGCAAAGGGATGTAGGTGTGATGGAGAAGAGGGCTTGGGAGACATGGTGAACTCCTCACTTGGAAGTTTACCAAAGGAAAAGAAGTAGTTTGGGCTGATGCTGGTAGGGCAAGTTAGGGTGGGTGACACATTTCTTTCTGAATTGGGAAGGACCTGAATATGAGATAAAAGAGGAGATAAAAGAGGCTGTCAGGGGTAATTAAGTCATTTGCTCAGTAATGGAGTCCTGGGCATAGGTGTTGTGGTATGGAAATTTGATTGTAGTTTATATTCTAGTGGCAAAGATAGACAATATATATTATTTAGTAAGCATGTTGCATATTAAAAATTGTGATTATTTTAAACAGTATTCTACAAAAGTGGAACTGTGGAGACCCATGTGACATTGGTCTGGCCAGGGAAAGTCCTTGGAGGAGGTTGATCAATGGATAGAGACCTGAGTAATAAGAAGGAGCATTGGAAAAGTCAAGAGACCCACGTTAGGGGTGGAAGTGGTGGGCAGAGGGACAATTCTAGTAGTGAAAGCATGGTGTGGAATAAGGTGTCCCTCATCCCATTTAGGCTGGCAGGCAATGGGGATGTTACTGCCATCTCAGAAACTGAGTGAAACAATTTAAGCCAAAGCAGGATAGTGGGTGAAAAATCAGATGGGAAATGTGAGTGACTTTCCATGTGAGCACACTGTCATCACTGAGGTGTCATACATGTGATGCTCTTGTGACACAGGAAGGATGTGGGTCTCTTCCTTGATTCAGTATCCTTGGCTGCCCTGGAATCAACTCACAGGAGCTTATGCCTGTAAGAAAAGCAGATCAGCAGAGTTGCTAGGGCAGTCTTGCCCAGGAAGAACCAGAAGCTTACCCTTTGAGAAGGCTCCTTTGTAGTCCATCTCGGCCAGGGACATGTCTGATGTGTTGGGATCCATCAGGAACACCTTCTCATTATTGCACAGCTGAAATTCAGTGTTGAGCGAATACACCACAGGCACAGGGCGGTTGGTCTGCTGGAATGCGATGGGTATCAGGAATCTAGACGTAGGAAAAGTGGGAGCCTTGAGAGTAGATCAACTCTGCACCTGTCATCTGAGCTGCCTCCCTTCTGCATTCTCACTGTTGTGCCCCAAGCCTTATTTTGAAGGTTAGGTACTTCCTGAATCAAGAGACACCCATGAGAGAAGGATTTTATTTGGTTTTTTATTTGGTTCTGAGGCTACCTGTGCTTTTTTGGACCAGAATTGATTTAATTAGCCATTGGGGGCTGCCATGGAATAGATGTGCTTTGCACCTTACTGGTTCAGGTATAGGAAGCCTGGATCACAGTGTGGTGAGACCTAGAAGTGATGGGGCCTTTAAGAGCAGCAGTCTTGTGCTGGGTCATTAGCTCATTGTCCTGGGACCTCTGAAGTCCTAGGCTCCCTGTCCCACCATGTGGTCTCTCCCATTTGCAGGTACCCCTATCATGACATCATCCCTGGGATGCATTACAGCCAAGAATCAGAGGCCCAGTAAACGGGGCCAGTCTCATCTTACATGTTTTAGCTTTGAAAATTGAGAGCTACATGAACCTCTCTTCTTTAGGGGATACCTATCATTAGGTTAACTCTTAGCTTTTTTCCTTTTTCTGCATTTTCATTCTCAGTCCCAGAGGTGCCCTTTGATTTCTAAAGGATTCAGAGCCATGATATCCAGTTAATTTCTTCCTGATCCACAAACACTGAAACTTTGACTCATTCAGTCCGATCAAGACTTGTTTCAGTGCTGGGTGACGCTCTTCCCTGGCTCCTTGCTACCTCACTTTCTCAGTCCCTCCCTTTTGTGCTTACCTCTGGCAGGTAAAAGCCCAGTCCTAGGATCATCTACCTGAATTTCACCTGCAATGCTCTTGGCCCTATTACTGCATTGGCCATCTCAAAGGCAGTGATGCCAAATTCATCTAATTCAGATTTCAGCTCTGAGCTCTAAGCAACCTCAAACCCTACATATTATTCTTTTATAATATCAATCTTTCTGGATTGCATATATGCCGGCCTATATGCCTATATGGGGTCAGGTTTATTTCTCTCTAGTCTATCAGCTGTGATGGGTGAGCTAATACAATTTTAAAAAGTCAACTTTGCTTAAAATTCTCCAGTGGTTCCACATAGCTCTTAGAGCAACATGTGTGACATGACCTTCAGTGGCTTTGGCCTTTGCTTCTTCCTCTTGCTTCCTCTCACTAGGATGAAGTCAACCCTGCCTTCTTTAGCTTCTTGACAGGTCCCCATTCTATGATCTTGATTGCCTCAGGACTAATTTATTCAAACATGTACTGAGCATATGCATTAGGCAACAGATACTATTGAGTAATGGAAATTTATTCATCTAGGGCTAATACAGAGAAACGTGTCCACAGGGAGGTTACGTCTTAACAAAGAGCTAGTATGTAAATGTTAAAAATCATGTAACATATATGATAAAGGGAATGAATGTTAGGAGATTCAGCAGGAAATTCTAAATGACAGGGGCAGGGCGAAAAATTGGTTCAGCCATTTTGAAAGACAGGATGCAGGCTCCTTGACACACAAAAAGCAGAGCTACCACATGGTCTGTGGAGGAAGCTCTCCAGGTAAAGGTACTGAGGCTCAAGGTATCTGATATGTCAGAGAACGGTCAGCCAGCCAGCCAGGGAGTCTGTTATGCAGTGAGTGAGGGAGATGGGATCAGAGTGGTCGCTGGAGGTCAGATCATGTAAGATCTTACCTGTATCTTAAGGATTTAAGGCTTGTACTTTCACTGTCTCAAAATTTAACAGTGTATGGGATCTGCTGGGTTGAGCAAGGACAGCAGGGTGAAGCCACAAGGGGACCTGTTACAAGGCTGTTTGTATAACCCAGGTCAGAGACAAGGGCTCTTACTGGGACTGTTGCTACATTGGCAGTGATTGAATGATTGGATTTCCAAGTATACCCTAAAAGGGAAGTCCATAACCTTTGCTGGCAGTGTTGGAGTAAGAGAAGACTTGAGGATGGTTCCAGGGATTTTGCTGTAATCACCTGGAACAGAGGTTGACATTTTTTGTAAATGTAAAAGTCTTTATGTAGCCTCTTGGCTCTGGACAGCATCAGTGCAGCAGGTGCAGCTGTGTTCCAAGGCAAAACTATTTATAAACCGGGCATAGAGGTATACCCTTCATCAGGATAGAACTGCAGAAGAAAATCATTTGCTGGAGAAAGAAAAAATTTTCATTTAGGACATGCTACAGTTGAGAGGCCTCTAAGAGCTGGGTGGAGATGCTGAGTAGTTAATTTGCTGTACAAGGCTCACTTGGAGAGAGTGGTTCATGGCTACAGGTGCTCATTTGTATCTGAAGCCTGCAGAAGGGATACGTAATGTGGTCACCAAATGTGACAGGAGACCAAACCTTGTCCTTAGGAGACTGAGAAACAGTGGGGACCAGCAAAACAGCCAGAAAAAGCCAGTAATTTGGAAGGAAAAACTTCAGAATGTGACACCCCTGTTGATTAAAGGAAGAATAAAGAGGGGGAACTGAGCAACTACCCAATGTGGGTAAAACGGCATGCACAGGAAGATGGAGGCTTGCTCCCTAGATCCAGTAGCACACAGTCAATGTTGATTTTGATGATAGCAAGCTGGGGTGAGGGCTCAACTGGAATCTGAAGGTGGCCAGGAGTGGAGTATGGGGTAGGAAGATGGGACCAACGATTAGGCACAGGGGTTAAGACATTGTTTGGGATACCTGCATCCCGAATCAGAGTGCCCGAGTTTGAGTCCCCGCTTTATCTCCTGATTCCAGTTTATTGTGAATGTGTGTGAGTGTGTGCGTGCGTGTGTGCGCACACCCTGGGAAGCCCCAGGTGATGACTAAAGTACCTGGCTCCCTGGAAGACACATGGGAAAACTCAACTGGGTTCCAGACTCCGTTCCAGCCTAACCCTGGCTGTTTCAGGTATTTGTAGGGTGAACCAGTAAGATTAGAGGTCTGACTGTACATTTCTGTTTCTCTACCTTTCATATCAAATACGTGAATTTTTTTTTTAATTAAAGGCAGATTAACAATCTTCTATCTGCTGGTCCAGTCATCAAATGGCTACACACTCAGTTCTGAGCCCAGCCAAAGCCAGAAGCCAAGAACTTCATCAAAGTCTCCCACATGGGGAACAAGGATCTAAGTGCTTGGGCCATCCTGTGCTGCTTTTCCAGGTGCATGAGCAGAGAGCAGAACAGATGTAGAATAGCTGAACTCACTCTGGTATGGGAAGCCAGCATTGCAGCTGCATGACAACAATGGCAGTAATAAGTAATTTCTTAAAGAGAAGATGGATGGCGATAAATTGGAAACTGTACACACAGAAAATTGTACTTTGAAGCCAAAGGGGCTGGCAAAATGGGTGCTAAGGGAGAAATGGACTCAAATTGGCTTTTCAAAAAATGGGAGAAATTACAAGAGGCTTTAGGCAGGTGTTTGTGGGATGTTCTATATGACGCAGACAACAGGAGTAGGGTGGCTGGCTTGGGGAGGACTCAGTGTCTCTACCAACAGCTGCGTGCAGGTTGCTAGACAGGAGCTTGTGTGACTTCTCCTAACTCCAGCTGACTAGATAAGAGGGCCCAGAAGCTGTAGGAGGCCCGAAAGAGGAGATTGGCTAGTCTAGGTAACCACCTACTGTTTGGAAGCCCTCAGGCACAATTTGTAATTAATAGTAATGAATTCAGAATTCCTGGCTTTGACTTTGTTGAACATTTTGTAGAAACTTTCTCTTCTGTGCTTGAACTCATGAACCACTTCATCTAGCTTGGCTCCCTTCTCATTCGATCAGTTACGCTGTGAACTTTCTTGTAGTATTGATCATGATTTGGCATTTTGTTTAAACACGTGACCACTTGACTGAAGTCTGTTTCACTTACTGTAGGCTCTGTAATTTATGTCTATTGACCCTCAAGGTCTGCTCAGTGACAAGCATACGAGTCAGGAGTTGGACTAGCAAAGAATGAGTAGGTGATTATTTCAATGCTTAATAGAATCCCTCTTACTGCCCCCTTCTTTCTATTAAAGTACTTTCAGTGAGTATATTGAAGAGAGTTGGAGTGTAGAAGGAAGTTGGGACCCACACCAGCCATGATAAGCTCTCAAAATAACCATTACTTGCATCAAGACTAAGGAAAACAGATACATACACATATGTATATTTGTGTGTATATATATATATATATTTGATATTTGATACTGCCACAGTGTCTGGCATTAAAATTCTCAATATTAATTAAATGGAATAATGGACCTGAGATGACAATAAGGTTATATATGATACAACTCACAAAAATAGTCACAACATTGAGGCATAGTTCTTTTAAGTCTGCATTCCCTGTGCCAGATTTGATTTTTGTGAGCTGTATCTATATTGTTTGCATATGGAACTGTATAGGAAATTAAAAAACAAAACAGACATGGCTAGGTAAAGGAGACAGTCACCGTGGTGGTAGTGCTTGGTGTCACATGAGGACACCTGACTGCCCCATGATCTGCAGCACCGCCCTCTCCCCCACAGCCTCCACCCCTACTCAGCACTGGGCTGTGTGTTTACTGCTCCCTTTTGCTATTTTCAAACTACTGTTCCTTTTATGTAAAAAACAGGCAACCACCCTGGAGACTCCTCCTTGCTGATGCTGGTATGCATGCATAAGAACATTCTTGGTAAAGGCAGAATCTGGTAATAAGACAAAGTGGCCAAACTGAACAATGATAACCTTAGCACAGTAATCACAGATTGCTTCCTCCATGTTGATGGACATGATTCAACCAGTGATTCACTGAATACGACACAATTAGGGGAGAGAATTCATGCAGTAAGAATGATCTATGTAGAGTAAAAAAGCATAAAACCCATCCAAACACAACGTAATATGGTAAACAAGAGCCAGAGATGATAAATACAAGTGTCAGGCTAGTGGTCACCTTTGTGGGGAGGAGGCCAGGGGTAGGTGTGGAAAAGCCACTGCCAGTACTGATGGTACTGGTTATGCTCTGTAATGGTTATGCTGACTGGTGGTAGATTTGTCATATGTACGTCATCCTCTCTATGAACCATTTAACAATTTCAAAAGAACTTGGACGAATTCACCAGCAGATGCAATCAGGTTAGGTGTCCTCCCTTTTCCCTAACTGGAGTTAGCTCTGTCTTCCTGGTCATCCTGCCTGGCTCACTTAGTGACCATGGCACTCTTAAATGTTTTTACTCTCTTCTGCTTCTCACTTTTTACTTCTTCACTACAATGAACTTGTGGGGCCTGGCGTTGTAGCCTAGTGACTAAAGCACTTGCCTTGCATGTGCCAGGATCCCATATGGGCGCTGGCTCAAATACCTGCAGCCCTGTTTCCCATCCAGCTCCCTGCTTGTGGCCTGGGAAAACAGTGGAGAACAGCCCAAATCCTTGGGACCCCGTGTCATCATGGCAGACCTGGAAGAGGCTCCTGGCTCCTGACTTTGAATGGGCGCAGCTCTGGCCATTGCAGCCACTTAGGGAGTGAATCAACAGATGGAAAATGTGCCTCTCTGTCTTTCCTCATCTCTGTATATCTTCTCAATAAGAAGACTTCTCAATAAGAAAAAAATCTTTAGAAAAAAAAAAAAACTTGTTGATCATCCCCTTCAGCCACATACTCATCGTGGTCCTATGATGCCACACTGCCAGACACCTCACTCTCACTCCTCTAGACTCTTCACATTCATTACATTTTCAGCTGTATCAGGACATCATTGACCAGTTCTCCTAAGATGCAGAGGCAATAGGATGAACACATGATAAAAAAATCTATACATGATTTAGAAAACAGTTTAACATTTTTCAGTTACAGACACGTATCTCCCCTGTTACCCAGCCATTCCATTTCTAGGTATTTACATGAGGAAATGAAAGACAGGCCCTTGTAAGGCTTGTGTTTCACATCAGTTTTGTTTACCATGGTCAAGGGCCTCCACAATGCAGATGTACACCACAGGATCTGATAAGCTGCAGCATCTCCATACTGTGGAAAACAGCTCAGCACTACAGAAATGAAGCACTGAGGCACACGGCAACATGAATGGGTGAGAATGATCATGCTGGCTAAAATAAGCCAGGGAAGAGGAATTCATACATTGTGGGAAATACAAATGGTTGTATAAGAAAAGCAAATCAGTGGAAACCCAGGCAAAAGGGCAGGGTGCAAGGGAACTACATGGGGGAAGGAGAAAACGTTTTGCTGTCTGGATCATCGTGATGTTTCCCAAGCAGTTTATGTATATATGTATATATATGTGCATACATATGTGTGTATATATATAAAATGCATATATATATAATTATATATAGTGTCTGGGTCTCAGCAGTGACCTATCTGCTGCCACCCTGCCCCTCTGGTACACAGACTACTCTCTCATTCCTCCTTTCTTTTTAAATCAGTGTTCCTCACTCCCAACTAGTGCCTGGCATTAAGTCATGGAGAAAATGGGTCAAGTAGATGCTTTCTGTCACCTTCATGCGGTAGACGAACTCTCTGGGCTTCTGGTTAAGGTCAGTCCTTTCCTCTCATGCCTGGGATCTGTCCCCTTGCCCTGTTCAATGTCTTTGATCTGCAATTTTCCCCTCTCCCCTATGCATCTTCAAATTTCCCCTGTACTGGATTTTCTTAACAGCATGCGCATGTTCTGATGTATTTTTCCATCCTAAACAAATAGACCTTCTTAATTAATGTCATATTTCCAGTGACTGTTGCTTTTGTCTGATGCACTTCATAGCAGAACTTAAGTCATGCCTACCCTATTGCCTCTACTATCTCTGTTCTTTCCAACCAAGTTGTATTGCCCTCAGTTCACCAAACCTGCTCTTGGCCAAAGTCATCAGTGACCAGTTTCCATATTTAAATGTCTAATTTTAACAACTCAGTGTGAGATTCTGTCTTCATGTCCTGGAAGATTTTTTTTATATAATTTGCTTATCCCCTAGAAAAGTGGTGATATGGTACAAGCTATCTAAGAGCAGTGTTACTTTTAATTCTATGCTCTGATCTAGTGATATCATCAAGGACTTGGTTATAGCAAAGCACTTAAGAAGAGCCAAATGAACGTATTGCATGATGCAGTGTCAGGTCTGGGGTGGGCATGAGCTGATATCAATAGTCAATTCTCATTAATCACAATTGTTATGCTCTGCATAGTGCCCATATAAAAGTAGGGTAGTGAGTGTTACACCATTGCTTCTTGGAGAAATACAGGCCTATGTTTCTCTGAACCTCTGGTTGCAACACTTTCCTCAACTGACAAATACATAGTCATATTTCATGTGTGTTTAAGGATTTGCTTAATAGGTGTTGATTGGCTAATAGTAAACTCATAGCCAACAGCACTGTGACTCTTGTGTAAGAGGTGCTTATCCAGTTCTCTGTAAGGTACACTCTGTTGTCTTGAGTTTAGAAGCATGAGATAATCCTGAAATTGCCAAGGATTAAGCCCCCAAATATGAAATCTGGTGCTGAGTAGACCATGAAAAGGTTGCTTCGTTGGGGAATGACAGCTGAAACAAGAATCGGTGTTACCTTGTACAGTCTCCATGCAAGACATGAGGTATGACCGTGTTGTGATTGTCTATGTCCACACATGACCAAAAGCACCCTGTGTATTGCTTTGGGGTTAGATAGAATAGAAGTCACAAATAAGGAATCCATAGGTGATCAGGACTATTTTCCTACCTTTCTGGGGCATGTGCAGTGCAGGCCAAGGGCTTTTCTCCTGGGTCAATCCATGGCTGTGTCGGCTGTACCGTACACGGGATCAGGTAGATGGTGTACTCCCCTGAGTAGTCCTTCCTGGAAGTGAGAGGAGCAGACTTTGGGCAGAGGAAATGGCTGGTAGATTGAAGCAGTGTCTGCACAGCACCCCTTTCATGTTCCACCAGCACTTGGCTCCACAGTCTTTTTGTATGATGTTGAAAAGCAATGTCACTTCTCACTGGACATGATGCAAGTAGAATCTGTTTATGGTGGGCCCTAGGCTTCTCCAAGTGAAAATACTGACAACATGAAGCCTGTGTGGTCCTCACCCACATTTTGTATGCTTGCCGTTGAGTAGCAGCCCAAACTCTGGCATACTGCATGGAAGGAAAACATCCAGAAGATTCTGGCAGATTCTTCAAGGGCCTTGGGAAACTGCCATCCATTGAATGAAGAGTGTGGAGTTGTAGATCTCAATAGTAACTGAAAATAATCTGTGAACAGTCTTTACATGTTTTGAGTTGGTTGTTGGACCATTTTTTAAAAAAATTGCCTACTTATTAAAGGCAGAGCAAACATTTCACCAAGAGTGTCACCTTGGTGATATACTCTGGGGAGCAACTTAGTGGATTGGTACAGGCTGGAAACTGAAAATCCAGCCCTGGTTTGGCTTGACTGATGCCTCAGCCCGCAGGGAGGGGCTACTGGTCTCTGAACACACACTGGATGGATGCTCTGAGCCTCTCTGTGCCCTAAGTGGCCTGGTGGGATATTCTGGCCATACCTTGGTGTGTAATCACCTTGCCTCAAAACCAGGTTACCAAAACCTGTGATGCTGGGTATGGCAGGGGGAACCAGATCTGCTTCTAGCCCCCAGGAAGCTCACACCTTGGTGACAAAATGGGAGCAGCCAATAGACCATTCTAAGGTGATGAGCTATGTTCCAGGGAATGCTGGAACATGGTGGGAAGAAAGCAGCAGCAGGGAGCTGCAAGAGCTGAGCTGGGAGCCAGGGAAGCTGTCACAGGGAACTCAGGCAGGTGGGAAGCAGAAGAAGGGTAGAAGGAACTGCAAAGATCTGTTGGGTCTGAGAGCTGGGAGTGATTGAAACGCTGAGTTAGGGTTGAGCCTCATGTGCCGTGTGGAGGTGCCAACTTCATCCAGCAGGCACCGAGGTGTCATGTCAGCAGAGGACTTATGGGAAGATAGTTTCTTGCCTGTAAACCAGGACAAAGTCCAGGAATTATCCCATGAGGATCTCAGAAGCACGGTCCCTGCAGATGACTGCATGCTAACTTCAAAGGATTTTTGCCACAATTAAAATGTCTGATATAAGAGAAAAATATGTAATTACGAAAATCTTTTTGAAGACAAGTCTTAAGACAACATGCCACTTCTTAACTGAGGAACTGGAAAAAGATTTTTCCATTATAGACCACTCTTAATTTTATGACCTATAAAACAGAGATAATATTTGTCTCCCTTTCATGGTTGTTTGTAGTCTGGCCTTTCCATTCTTCCCTTCTATAAATGTGATATTTTCCTATTTCCTTTGGATATGGGAGGGGGAAGGAGGAGAAAGCTTGCTCATTTATGGATAGAATACTGGATCACTAGGACTGGTGCCTAGACCTAACGTGTGGACTACTGGCCATGTGTCCCAGCTTCCTTGCAGGTGGATATTTCATAAGACTAACTTCTAGTCATTGAAGTGTGACTGAAGGGCATGAATCTTTCTGTTTGGGATCAGCACTTTGCATTTTATGCATCAGATGTTGATCTGAGCTAAATTTATGCCTTTTTCTACTTGCTAGAAGGTTGTTTCTGTGTATCTTTCTTTTTAACATCAAAATGCACACTTCAAATAAGATGCCCATGTCCCAAGCTCCTGCAAGAAACAGAAAATTACCCCCCGGTTGCCTCCAGCACCGTATTCACCTGTTGTAGGAGCTTGTGGCTCTCCAGAGTTGATAGGGAGAATCAAAAGTCTGAGCACTCCACAACAGCTGCAGGTCAAATTCAATTCCCCCAAGGTGGTCTGGTGTCGAGATGATAGATTTCACATCTGGGAGTGTATGGTGTTCCATCACAAACTGTCCTGTTGTGAAGAACATGATGACACTTGTTTGTAAGTTTTGCTGCAGCCCCGATGATACCCCTGCAAGGCCCCCAAAGTGAACCAATGCTTTTCTGTGAGGCAACTTAGGTGATGTCTTGGCCCCTTAGAATGAATCCCACCCTGATTCAGACAGTGTGACAGGTGTCTCATGAGCCTACTGAGGTATGTGCTGAAGGCCAGATCTGTACTTACTGATGGTGTGAATGGGCCTGGTGCTCAGGACATCAATGAGCACATTCTCAATGGGGGTCTACATGTGACAGTGAGCATGGAATACACCTAGCTTTCCAACACTTTTCCAAGAGGAAGAAAGCTCTTAGTGGCTCATAAACAGAAGGAGCAATGTCACATAAAAATGCCTTAGGGACCTGGCACGGCAACCTAGCTGCTGAAGTCCTCGCCTTGCATGCACCAGGATCCCATGTGGGTGCCGGTTTAAGTCCCCACAGCCCACAGCCCCACTTCCCATCCAGCTCCCTGCCTGTGGCCTGGGAAAGCAGTCAGGGACAGCCGAGGGCCTTAGGACCCTGCACCCAAAAGGAGACCCACTGATGCACTCCAGGCTCCTGGCTTCAAATTGGCGCAGCTCCGGCCATTGCAGCTGCTTGGGAAGTGAATCAGTGGACAGAAGATCTTCTGCTCTGTCTTTCCCCCTCTCTGTATATCTGACTTTCCAATAAAAATGAATCTTTAAAAAAAACATGCTTTTGGACACTTAAGTCCTTGGCAGAATGGATCATTGTAAACATTACAAAAGTGACTCCAAAAGACACTTGCATTATTTAAAACTGAAGTGATACACTCTTTCAAAACAATGTATGGAGACTAAGGTAAAATTTAAAAATTATAATTTCCAGGCCAGGCGCAATAGCCTAGTGGCTAAAGTCCTCTCCTTTAGTCCATAAGTGACACGGGGATCCCATATGGGCACTGTTCTAGTCCAGGCAGCCCTGCTTCCCATCCAGCTCCCTGCTTGTGGCTTGGGAAAGCAGTTGAGGATGGCCCAAAGTCTTGGGACCCTGCACCCACATGGGAGACCTGGAAGAGGTTCCTGACTTATGATTGGCTCTGCTCCAGCCGTTGTGGCTACTGGGGAGTGAATCAGTGGATGATAGATCTTCCTCTCCATCTCTCTTCCTCTGTATATGACTGTCCAATAAAAATAAAAATCTTTTAAAAATTATAATAGCCAAGATGTAACATGAGCTTGATTAGATTGGCCTTTTATATAAGCAGTTGTAAAATGAAAAAGTGGAATATACATTTGTGGGATAATAGAAGAAATGTAATTGGGACTTGATATTCCTAAACCAATGCTAACTGCCTTGGATGACATTGTGATTGTGTAGGGAAAGCTTCCGTTATCTACTGAAGTGTCGAGAGCAATGTCATGTGAAGATTGCAGTTTGTTTTCAAATGATGTGACATACAAAGCTAGGAAAATGTTAACAATAGCTGACTTTGCTTTTCATTGTTTTAGTTTCTTAGCTCGTCTGTATGTTTGACATGTTTTATGATAAAGTTGGAAAAACACCAGCACCAATACTACCTCTGAACTTGGCATGGGTCTTGAATTCAATGACGAGACGACCGTCTTCTCGAATGTAGATTCTTATTATCTGAAGCCTTGCCGACAGCACACTGTCTGTCTGTATTCCTGGACAGGCAAGCACACACAAAACACCCATATCAGGACACAGAGATGATCTCACAGCTAGTAACCATGTGAATGTTATCCCAGGGACAACCAGAAGTGGAGCTATTTGAATGTAACTCAAGAGCCAACTTAGCCATGTGATAGCTGACTCTACAGAGAGTTGCCAATTAGAATCTGGGTCTTTTAAAACAATAGTTCCACAGTCATTGACTTACTCTTCATATCTAAGTGTCACTTGGTTCAGATGCTAGACTAAGTCCAAGCTGAGAAAATAAAAAAATGGATCTTAAAATGCATTAAACTTTGTGATCAGAACACATCTATCACATAGATTTTCTTTTTCTTGCTAGGATACTTTTGAGGACTTAATAATGCCCTAAGACCCGGCTGGGAAGCTTGTAGGAGGCCAGTTCTGCAGGCAGGACAGGTGTAACTGTGCCTTTAATAAAGGATATCATAGCCTTGACCCTACAGAGTAAAGCAAGACCCCAAACCACTGGGTAGCTAAAGGGGGCAGGGAGGGGTGAGAGAGAGAGAGAAAGAAGTTACCAAAACAAAGCTCAAGGAATTGTTAACCCAGAATGGGAAACTTCCTGAGGTTACTTTTCTCTGAGCAACAGGAAGCAAACACATGCTTTGAGTCACCCCATAGAAGACAGGACTGAACTTTTTCTGAAGAAGGCTGCATAGCCTTTTAGGAACTTTGCCTCAGATAACATGGTATATATGAGATGGGGAAAATGGGACCAGGAGAAGGAAGGGGGAATGTATGGCGTACAGGACAATGACAATTGGAGAAAAAAAATGAGAAAAGAGAAATACAGCAAGCTCTGGTGGAGCAAGTGGAAGAGACGGGGAGTTCTGGATGGCATTTCTCTGGTGGCGGCAGACTGGGTGTAAGTGGGATCTGGCCTGGAAGGCTTTCACCTAGGCGTGCCTGGGAAGCACTTCTCCAAGAGGTCAGTCCCTGAAGAAGAGCCTTGCAGAGGAGTGGGATTTAAAAAAAAAATCAATGCTATAAACCTTGACGTGCTGAAGGTTAAAATTCTTCGGAGATTGCAACAGAACAAAGAGGCCAGGTGAGGAGCTGCTGGGTGTGCCTATAGGCAACTTCTGTGGCCGCATCTTTCCCTATCCTGAACTGAACATCTGCTTGCTTCTCCACACGAAACACATCGAATAGGAAAGGATAAGTACGATTCTATTCCCCCAAAACTATACTCCTGCCAGCCATAGTGGGCAGTCTAGGACCCATCTATGAACCTTCTGGGCCTCTGGTTATCTGGGCTGAGGCTTCCCAGCTGTTCATTCTCAGGATTTGCACATGTTCCAGGCGTGGGTGGCCTTCCAGGACAAGTGGATGAGGAATGCACCTGCTGTAAACCTCTATTTTTTTTTTAACTGCTTGAGGGTAAGGGAGGAGTCACTGGGGTGTCAGTGGGCATACCTGTCCTCCAGAGAACAGTGTCATAGAAGAATGAAAACTCCATCTCGGTGTGGTGCTCCAAGGAGGCCCAGCCCCGGGGGGCGGTCACATAGATGTAGGACACGTAGAGAGGCACGTGCACGGTCAGGAAGGACTGAGCCGAGTCTCTCACCTGCCAAGCAAATGGTGCACACAGGATTGTTTGTCTGCTCCAGTGCCATTCACTCAGAACATCACTCAGTCAGTTGCCGTAAATCAAGCTGATGACCATTTGCCAGTGACCCATAAAAGCCTGAACCAAGGCTAACAAACTGCCGAGCCTGGGGATGAACCATGTGCCTAACCTGGGATGTGGAGGTAAGTATAATTGCTCTCTCTCTCCAGGAACCCAGAATATGGGGTTTGGAATCCATATCTTGGAAGCTTAGTGATAGAAACCTCAGCTGCATTAAGTCAGAGTTCTTAAAAATATTTGTGGAAAACCAGGCTGACTTATAGGTAAGCATTGTACTGCTACAGGCTATGGCTCTTCTGGTGACACCAGTATCCCATATTGGAGTGCTGGTTTGAGTTGTGGCTGTTCTGTTTCTGCTTCAGTTTGGTTCTAATGCATCTGGGAAAGCATAAGCAGGTGGTCCAAACACTCAGGGCCCTGAACACTCAGGGAGATCAGGATGGAGCTCAGACCTGGCTGTTGCGTCCTTTGGGTGAATGAACACCAAGAGGAAGATGTGAGATCTCCAATCTCTCCCTTTAGCTCTGGTGCTCTGCCTTTCAAACAAATCTTTTTAAGAAATATGAAACCCATGTGTGTTTTTCATAAAATGCGCCTTTCAGATACTGTAGAAAAATGTTTTTGCACCAAAGTAATCTCATAATTCTGTTGTTAAACTTTTTGAAGTGTCTTTTTACTTTAGTAATTTCCTGTCTCATTCAGTGCTTTGGAAATCATTTTTTGCAAGACAGCATATCATACTTACAAAAGAATACTTGCAGAGCAAAGGGCTTCCCATTAGTGCTGTTTATTTGGCCTTTTGGTTTTCATTTTACTATGCAATGAACAAAATTGTATGGAAAAATAACTTTACAGAAGTTTTCATGGTGAAATTAACCATGTATGTGTGGGTGAGTGAGGGATTTTATTCATTTTTAATTTTTTATACTTTCCTTCTTATAACCAAGAAAGCTCCTTTTAAAATCATTTTGTCATTGGCCACACACTGTAATACTTTTTCTTTGGCTTGACACACTGTAAAACTTTTTTCTACCTCTAAGGAAAATGCTTTATCAATATTTAAGATATAAAAATTAAATTTTCTGCAGCATTCTTATCCACTGTTGCCAGGGATTTACATTTTGATGCCAGTTTTTGAAAAGACTAATAATTTCATTTAAAAACTCAGTTAGAAATCTCTGGTGGACAGTCTGTCTCTCTTCACACCATGTTAGCCCCTTCAATATCCAGGTTTTGCTCAGCACACCTGCCCCACTGTCACAGTGCTCAATCTTAGAACAATTAACTTCCTTTTTTTTTTTTTGCTTCTCTTTTCCTTTAGAACTCATAATGATACCTTACCAAAACTTAGAAGCTCTTAAAAATGTTTACTACATACTTCCTCTCTGCCAGATGCTGTGCTAGCTTCCGGCCCGCAGATTGTCATAATCTCAGATGCAGTTCAGGAGCTCATGTCCACCCTGTGTCCTACCATGGTCACCTGTGCTGACAACGGATATGGAGGTGGGAACTAGAGCTTCTTTGGCTGTTCAGTATTCTTTCTACCACACATCAGCGGTTACAGTTGTTCTTAACAGACAATAATCAAATGCCTGAATATATATATTTTCTGTATTGATTCAGAAGAGTGGAGCATATGTAGTAAAATATCTTTGTCTTCCAAATTTTAAAGGATATTCTCAACAGAATAATCCAAAGATGTGACTGAAGCAAAGCCATGGTGAACAAAGAGCAAGTTTTGAGAGGCTAAGGGAGCAGTCACTTCGTTTTGCATTTTGCAAAGTAACCGGGAGCTATGCAACTGCAAAAATAAAACCAAAGACTGCCCTAAAATCTATTCAGTAGAGGGCAGTAGTGCATATGAAATGGGGGGAAACATGGAAGGCATCCCAAAGAAAACCAAACAAATTTACATCAGAGACACTTTCTTGGAAAGTGACAACTCCCTCTAGAAGTTTCCCAGTCAGGGAGGTTAAATCTGATTTCAAGTGAAAAATAAACCTCTAGCTAGGTTTCAGCTTACTGGGGTAACTGCTCAAAATTGAACAGAACTGGTTTTACAACTGACTTTCCTATGATAACAAATTAGTCTCCCTGACCCTTATTTTACAGTTTTCCATTATTAATTTGTGGCTATCAATATTTTAAAAGTCTCTGCTTTAAGATGATTTAATTATTTATGTGAAAGGAAGAGAGAGAGAACGAACACATAGACGCATTTCCCTCGCTCTTTGGGTTTACATCCCAGATGGCTGTAATGACAGAGACCTGTCCCCTCCAGAGCTAGGCGCTCCATGCACATCTCCCCTGTGGTTGTCAGGGAGCATTTGGACCACGTTCCACTGCTTTCCTAGGTACTTGAGTGGGGAGTTGCAATGAGAAGCAGCACAACCAGGACTAACACTCCAGGGCTGTGATGTGACATGCAGGCGTTGCACGCAGCCGCTTCGCTCACTGTACCACAACATTGCCCCCTCAAAGGTATCTGTTTCAGAGGGGTTCTCAATGTGGAACAGATGCAAAATCCAAGTGTTTTTGACCATCTTCCACCCTCAACCCTGAGAACAACAGTGCCCTTGTCTTCAGAAAGACACGGTGCATCCCTGCTGTTTTGACCCATTTTGCCAGTTTAGAAACAGAATGGTTCTGTGCTGTAATTACCACAGCATTCAATGTAAATCCTTCCCATTTTCCAAAATACACAGAGGATGAAACCTATGAGGCCACCCTTAAATATTTGAAAACCAGAATGAAAACACAAATTTGTTTTGGTGCAAGAAATTCTGATATCCATGCATTGTGTTTCAGAGGATGCATTTTCCATGAAGTTGTTGAAGCCCCCTTATATAAATCCATGGCAAGCACATGCTAAATATTTATGCAAATGACTGCACCAGACAGTCAGTTTTTCCACATTAACTTGATTTAGAAGGCTTTGGGGTTTTCTGAGAGTAACAGTACCAAGAAATCATGCTTAAATGACAGAGAAAGTTCCTGTTAGTTGATGGGCCTTGATGTGGGTAAAGATTGGGAGCGAAAGTGCTCCCAGAAGCAAGGTTGGGTATGGTGCCACCTGCATGCAGCCAGCGGACAAGCCCAGGGAGCACGCACCTGGAAGTCTGCAGTGACGGAGCCCCCACAGACGTCAATTAACTCGGTCATGTCATAATAGGCGTCGAAGGTCCACACACAGCTTTTCAGGTTGAGGTGCTTGTAGAGCTGGATGGTCTTTGGCTCGCGCACGCTGGGGTCAAATTGGAAGGGGCGGTCATAGCCAGGACCCAGGGCAGCGCTGTCATAGACCTCGTCATCCAGGAACCCTGCGTCTGCCCGGGAGGAAAGGGACAAGCAATGGTAATTCAGGCTGTGGATGCCCAGGAGGCAGGTGGCGTGAGAGGATGCATCCTGTGACTGGACTCAGCTTTCCTACATCTGAGACCTGGGTTACTGGAGCCATCCAAGGCACACGCCTCGAGGCTCAGTGCCAATGGGAGAGAGAGGAGTTTGTGGAGTACTTGTGAACTGCTGCTGGCCTGGTGTTAGACAGAAGCCTCTGGGGTTGGCATTGTAGTTCTGAGGCTTGGGATGCTGACATTTCATATGGGAGTGGTGATTGAAGGCTTGAGTCTTGTACTTCAATCTGGCTTACTACCAATGTGCTTGGGAAGCAGCAGGTGGTGGTTCAAGAATTTGGGCCCCTGCCACCCCTGTGGGAGACCAGGATAGGGTTGGTTCTGAGTGTTAGCCTGGCCTAGCCCTGGCTATTGGGGCCACTTGGGGAGTGAATCAGTGGATGCAAGATTCTCTCTCCTTTCTTCTCTCTCTACCCCACCCATTATAGTAATCTTGCCTTTCAATTAAATAAATCTTGGAAAAACACTTATGGGGGCCTCTACCTCTAAGAAACTATAGGATTCTGGAAAGGAAAGGCAGATAATTTCATAAATGAAGAGGGCAGTGCTTAGAAAGGAGACCCACTGACACCCTGCCTGTGGCACCTGGCTGGCAAGCCTGGTCGGCTTCACAGTCAGCAATGAAAAAGGGGATTTACTCTGCCGGATTACCCACAGATAATCACTTTTGTTTTTAAAAAAAGAACAATTATCTGATTCCCCCCTCTCCCTCCTATGGTTTCTGAATTCTTGCAGAAAAAAAAAGGGTTTCATTTTGCATTAATGAGTAAATAGTTTACTAATGTGCTTCACTAAACCTCACCTGCTGCAGGCAAAATTATTGGATCAAACTGCCAAGCAAGTGAACTGTTCTACATTATGCAAGACCTTTCTGCAGGAGAGAGCTTGGCACAGATTGAATTTTAGATTGCTAAGTTTCTAATTCTGAAAGTTCTGGGAGAAACTCTAGTGTTTTCAGAAGAGTTCATGCATTTTCCAGTAAGCTGGACCACAGTCTCCCCGCCTCTGCCCACAAGGACTAGGTACTCTATTAACCAGAGTTGAATGGAACTCCTTCAAGTAGGGAGGGATACAAAGTTTCCATTTCTAAATGTGGCATGCTTCTTCCACTAGCTGCATATGTGGGCCTATTAAACTTTCATGTATAGCTCAATGACTTAAGAATAATTTATTCTCAACTAATTTCTACTGTATAAAGAGACCATCACTCCCCAAAGTGATGCTTAATGAATATCAAAGAGCCTACGAATGTGTTTCTGTCTTTAAAACCAGTGAAATGATTCATCTGTTGTGAAGGGAGGGAGTACACATCTGCTGCATACTTGCTAAGGTAAATGGAAACCCATGGAATTCTTTGTAAAGGAAAATGTCTACTGTGGTGATCAGGGAGAAGTGTCGGCCCCTGCAGGCTGCAGCAGCTGCAGGACATACAGCTCGGCCCAAGGTCAGGGGTTTGGGATGGGGGACAGCCAGCTTGGGGTGCCTGAGCCGAGGGGGGCTGTAAAAACATAGAAAAAGCACAAGTCTGCCAAAAAGTCCAGCTGACTGGCTCAGGTAGCCTCGTTAAAGTTGAATTTCTCACTCTGCCCAGTCCTTTGTCTTGCAACTAAGGTTGATCCCTAATATCCACCATGTACTCTAAACTCTAGCTTATCCTGCAACACCTAAAATCTACAGCTTCCTAAAGAGGGTGTTATCATGGATTTGAAAGCAGTTTTCAATTGAGGGTGAGGGAAGGAATTAAGAATGTAGCCCAGTAGAGGCACTTAAAAAATACCAATGCATTTAATCGTTAGTCTAATTGACTTTCATGCTATAGTAACAAAACTACCAAGAAAAGTCAAGGTCTCTTTGTTCAGTGGTACAGCTAGTGGAGTAAGAATTCAAATTTAAGTTTGCTTCTCCTTTTTGGTTTTCCTGCCCACTTCATGCTCTGAACTGCCTATATTTGGATGCTTACCAAAAAGGACAATTATTAACATTTATATTTTGAGGGCCAAAAAAACATGAAAAGCAGTGTTCCCTTGGTTCTATTTGGAAAGTCATTTGCAGAGTTGCTGTGGGTGAGCCAGCACCGAGATCTCCCTCACCTGAGATACCTCTGAGGTCATGGGCAGAGACTAAGTTGGAGCAGACATGCTGGTGTCTGTAGATGGACTCGGATAGCAGAAAGTGCAAGTTGTGCAGTGGCATAGTGGACACGAGGGGCAGCATTCCATCCTGGTGAGGGATCTGCACCGAGATGTGGATTCTAGGTGGAAAGAGCAGAGGGAAGGCTTTAGTTGCATGCAGTTCCATAGTAGGCTACATCGCTTTCTCAGTCATTTTTCTCCTGGCAAACTTTCATCTGCGATTTATTTCTGAACAGGAGGGTGCAAATGGACACAGATGAGTCTCCATGCCCTATGGACACACCAGACTCAAGACAGAGGTTAGGAATTATCTTTTGTTTTTTCTTCTTCTGTACAAGTAAAGATAGTCTCACAACCACAGGTTACTTTAAAGCCTTTTGGGTTAAATGGAAGTTATGTCTTTAGCAGGAGTGAATGCTGAATGATGAGACAGGTGCCGGCCCCCTACTTTGTCATGGTGAATGTTACGTGAAAGTTTGATAGGTTCAAAACTCTCATCTATTTTTTTAAGGATTTGGTTCAAAAAGATATCTGAGTTCTTATGTTCTAATTTCTGCACCCAAATCATGGCAATTGCAATGTTGCAATACTCCCACTGTCTCTCCTCAACACAGGGTAGCTTTCTCTTGTCTCATCAGCACCTTGTAAGACCTTCAGCAGCATCAGTCTGCAAGCTGAGCTCCCTCTCGTGATTCACATCCATCTGTTCTTGGGCGGCCTTCGAATCAGGAAATCTAACTTGTTTCTAATGCCTCTTGTTCCTTGTCTGTCTGAAAACTGTTTATCTTGCCTCCCCACCATGAGGACAAGGACCATTGCTTTCATCTCTTTGGTTTCTTCAACACATATACTATATGATTCTAAATAAAATATGAGCTTGATAAATAGTAAGTAGTGAAGAGTGTGACACAATAGAACTGTACTTATGGGCTGCATCTGTTTCCATGATACAAGTAGAACTTTTCAGCATGTTTATTGTAGGTGAGTCTACATAGTGTGTGTCCCAGACAGCAGATACAGTTTTAAGAGGACTTGGTATCTCGGATGTAGAGGATGGCCCTCTCTCTAGGAAGTGGCCAATAAGTACACTGTGGACTTCTGTTGCTGCTCTTTAACAAAAATAAATGTTATTCTGCTAGAAAAAAAAGAGGATTTGTGAATGCTTGACTCCACGTTAAAATTTTTGTGTCCTTGCAAAGTAATCATTTTTCTGAACCTAGTTGCTCATAAAGCCACATATTTACATATTGTGAGGTTTAGTCCATATGTAGGGCAGCCATACATTTCTTTTTGCCATACAGAAGTGTGTCCATCTCCCATAAAACTCAGTGGCACAGAAAAAGCATGTCCAGTGATTCATACTATTTATATTTTTGTCTAGTAGTTATTGAGTGAATGTCTCTTGGATGCCAAGAAACACTGTACTAGATAGAGTGGAAATGAAATAAATAATCCTGATCCCTGTCCTTAACATATTACTCTCTACTGTGGGCACAGAGATGCAATGTGGCTGCTAGAACAGCAAGGAGACAGAACCTCCAAATTAAATCTGGGAAGAGATGTCCTAAGCTAGGCATACTAGGATGATGGGATTTCATGACAGCAAGTGAAAGGGAATATTAGGGAGTGGGAGTCAGGGAAGAGGAGCATGAAAGAATCAACCTAAAAGAGCCCGAAGCCATTGGGAAGCTGCAGATCATGCTCTGTGTGTAGAAATGACAATGTGAGAAAAGTGAGTTTAGAAAGGCAAGATGCCGGATTTGAAGGGACTGTGATGTGTCTAACTTTTTTTCTGAAGTATTCATCAATTTTTTTTGGCCTTCTTTCATTGATATTCATTGACGTGTCCAGCTGGGAACACATAAAGCCTCTTGGAGATCTGCCCAGCTCTGCCCTGGTGGAAAGCACCACCTGCCTCACCTGTTTGGGTGCTCCTTGTGTTTGACATCCAAGTATTTCAAAGTTGCGATGAAGGACTGAGCCTGGAAGCCTCTGGCAGTCCCAGCCACCACTGGAGTGTGGCAGATGGCACTGTCGGTTCCGATGGTCACAATGTTACTCCTTAAGGGGGTCCCCACGTGGCCCACCTTGTCCACGGCTTTTGCTACACAGCGCACGTGGAACCTCCGGCTGAAGTAAATGCTGTCCAGGACCTACCAAGAAGAACAAGGGCCTTTAGACTTGTACAGATAACACGAACAGATATTACTCTGCGTTTTTCAGGTGACAGGATATAGGAAACACCTGGTACAAAGCGACCTAGGAGGGCCTTCATCCATTCATCCTCCCAACACACATCTATCTGGTCAATTACTGATGGGTTCATCCTGTAACTATTGCTTTATGACTATGAGCCAGGCACTAGGACAAAGCCGTATTTACAGCTGAAGAAGGAGGAGAGACAACACACAAGCAAATAGATATTGAATAAGGACTCCAAGCTGCTGATAATCAAATACTTAGAGAGAACAGCATTTACTGGTTATCAGCATAACGAGGACAAGACTGCTTTTAACCCGCCAGCACACTGGCTGGGCTCTGACTCTTTGTAATGGACCACCTAGTGTCAAAACACAGAGGGGAGATGTCTCCACCCTCAGACCCCCCCACAGCAAATGACACACAGACTCCCACACAGCAAAATATCACACAGAAGAGTTAAAGTAACATGCAGCCTTTAAGCTGAGAACTTGGCTTCCAAAAGTCCATCTCAGATTCCTTCAATTTCCTAAACAATGCAGAAGGTACATAAGTACCTAACTCACACACACAGAGGGATTGTAGGCCACTGGGAATGTGTACATACACACAGCAACACAGGGAACAAGAACAATTAGCAGCTCTATGTGCCTGAGACCTTCACAAAGCAATCGCACAGACTTATCATTTTTATCTATGAAACCAATTTTCACTCAAGTCCATTACCAATTAACACACTTTCCCATTAAGCATTTTTTAATTAGTGTTCAACTATGTTTCTGTACAGGTTCATCCAGAAGGGATATGAGGTATCCTGCAACAACGCATCATAGCACCAAGATAACTGTTTTGTCCTCATGTTGAGTTCACGGTCCCTACAATGTGCTATCAGTGTGCTGGCCACCTGTAGATGCATAAATGGGATAGAAGCCTTAATCCACATCCTTTATGAGTTTAGAGCCTAATACTTATTGAATTATTGAAAACATGTGAAAAGAACTGGAACTACTTAACATGCCTGCCTGCAATCTCTGACTCACTGTTTTCATTTACAAATTGCATCTTTCGATCACTTTGGAAAGTGGCTCAGTGGAAGAACCTGGAATTGAGACTCAAGAGAGATCAAGCAATCTCTGAATGCCACTTAGGTAAAAATAATCAGGATTTGTAAATAGGTCTTCTGACTAGTAGCATATGTTTTTTTCCTCCTAATATAATTTTGTTTACACAAGAGTCCAGAAAGTTCATGGAAAACAGAATGAAAAAGTTCATGTTCATAGAAAATATTAAAATCCATGCATAGTTTTTCTCAATAGACAACCAACATGAATCTTGTTAATATCCTTAATATATAAGATTACCAAGACAGGGGTGAATATTTTGGCACAGTAGTCTAAGTCCTGATTCTGATGTTTCTATTCATATCAGAATGCTGGTTCGAGTCCAGGCTGTTCTGCTTTCAATTCAGCATCTTGATGATGTGCCTGGATGGGAGAGGGAGGCCTCTACCACCCATGTGGGAGACCCAGAAGGTGTTCTTGGCTCCTAGCTTCAGCCTGGCTCAAACCTGATTGTTGTGACTATTTGGGGAGTGACCCAGCAGATGGATGATATATTTATTGCCTGTTTCTCTCTCTCCCCATCCATTCTTCCCTTCTTCTCTTAGTCTGCCTTTCAGAGACATGTTTTCAAAAAAGAATGAAAATCATGTGTCTATTTGCATATTTTTTTTCTATTCCAAAATGTCACAGAGGGCCTTAAGGAAACTGACAGAGTCTGAGCAACAAGAGCAATGCCAGGTCTCCTGCTCCCCACCCAGACCCACTCCCCAGACCTACCATGTGGTTGACACTGGTGAATGGTGTGTTGTCAGTGACGGTTTCAAAGGGAGAGCGGGCCCCATTGCCATCAGTGGGGGCAGCCACTTCCCAGCTGAACTGCACGAATGTCTGGTTGATGCCTGCCTCGCTGCAGCGCTCCTTCATGACAGCATATCTAGGGAAGTGAGGATCGCAGGGTGTGACACAGACCAGGGGATAGCCTGGGGAGGGGGATTTCTTGACTCCTTCCTTGGAGACTTCTTCCACATGATCATAGTCAGCAAGGGTGACCACCTGCAAAAGAGCAAGGAAGCTTCAAGCCACGTGGAGTATCAGAAGGGCAGAGAACTAAGGCATTCTGTCCCCAGGAGACTTCAGGACTTTTAACTTTTGGGGTTCTTTATGATGCAATGAAAGTGTTTACAATTCTTTTTGCCAGCTACCGCTAAAAGGTTCTGTAGGTATTTGGTTGTGGAGGAGATGATCCTATTGCCTGAGCTAAAAGGTTTACTGTCTTATTACTTCTATTCCTAAATCAGAGTCCTGCCATGCATGGTAAAAATATTTCTATTTTCCCGCACACTACAGCCAAAGCGCTGTCATGAATGACAAGTTTGCCTTAAATTGTTCATGGTATGTAGCAGCACATTTGGCAAAGATAAGGGTGAAAGGGTAGTGTATGTCTTCCTTGTCAAATAAGAAACATAACCTTGTCTGCGAACACATGTGACTGGTTAAGAGAGGTTAGAAGGTTCAACTTTTCCTTGACAACATCCAGGTATTTTTCTCCTAATTGCAAAGCTGGTAAACTGTCTAGCAGATTTTCTTGCTTCTACCAATGCTAGCATTTTTCAGTGTGGCTTGGGGCAGCCCAAGATTTCTCCAGATACTGCTAAATTTCCTTTATGTGTGTGGAGGGGGGTTGTGGGAGCAGGGTGATGAAGGCAGAGAGTGTGGGCATCAAGATTGTTCTTGGTTGAGAATCACTGGGCTAAAAAACATGAACTGGAGCATCCAAAGTCCCATGCCTCAAATTCTCATCTGGTCTTCACTGACACAGAAGCAGCCATCTTTCAGGTCAAGCAACTCACAATGGGTGGAGCTGGCAAGATGAGACTTCCTGCTGCCTCCTGGTCCAGAATTGTCACTGTGGCCGTGGTCACTTCCCCAAGCACAGCTTCCACTGGGTCATCTGGGCCAAGGACTAGAGAGAAGGACTCGTGCCATTCCCGATCTTCATTGGACAGGATCTCGACTTTAAAAAAGATATGATCCACACCTTCATCAAAGACAGAAGAGAACAGACAGCTTATGAGTGGACATATCCAAGATACTGCACGTTGGTCTTCCCAGCACTTCACATTAAAATATGTCCTTTCCTTCCAGAAGTTTTCTCTAACTGCAGTGGCTGCTGATCATGTTCACCCCATCTCAAAGGAGGAATCTGTTATACAGACAAAATTTCACCTGTGGTAGATACGCTTAGGGTTGCTGATTAACTATTCAATACCATATGAGGATTAATGGCCTCTGCATGGCAGTAATAAAAATCTATGATCCAAAATATACTTGATCTTGGTTGTGAGGGTTTTTTGCTTAATTTTTCTGTTGCCTTACACATATGTATGAGCTGCAGCGTGATTGAGAATGCCGATACACGCTGATGCCTTTCAAAGCTGTCCTCCGAGAAGCAATAGGACAAAGTACATCTCCCAGGCCCATTGTTGAGAAGATAATGTAGAGAGTCAGTGTTAGGGTAGGGGAAGGGGTCCTGCCTTAGAAATCCCCTTTCTCTGTGAAAGGCCACTATCCCATGCAGTGTTTGAGGCTTCCCCCACCCCAGACACCAGCACGTGGCTGCTTTGAAATCTAGTGTTCTCCAAGCCCGTAGACAGAAAAGGAGAAAGTATAGATATTTGAAATCAAGGTGCTTCACACAGGTAGGAGAAAGGTATCTCCCTTTCCAGAAGACATGAGCCAGACACACACATGATGGAGACAGATGCTTTGTGGTGCTTTTATGAAGCCAAAGACGAATACAGGGCTTCTGTATGCCCAGGTTCTCAAACTTTCTCTCCATTCATTTGCCAGGGAAGTTCTGAGAAGTCCATACCCTCTTGCCAATCCCCAGCTATGTAACAAATGGGTTTCAGGATCTACATAAGCCCTTTACCTTGGCATTGCTCCAGAAAGTTCTGCAAGAATACCTCACGTCTCGTCCCTTTTTCTGTCTCATTCTCTCCAGTGAAGTAGGAGGTCTCCTCATGATCTCATCATCCCATCTCTCTCTAAGAGAAACCTATTGTGGAAAGCCCACTATTGAATGTGCCTTTTCCTGTAGATGCTACACCTGAATACAGGGACAATGCCTTCCAGATTTTTCTGATGTCTGATGGACTCAACAAGGTACTCTGAACCAGCAACCGCTGAAGGATATGTGTATCTATGGATTTCATACCACGTGCTCTTATCGCTCACCCAAACCCTTTCAATGGAACAAATTGTCCAGCATGTTCTGAACTAGGGAAACTTTGTTGTTGTTCCTGTTGCTGTTCCATGTCATTTTTACTAACACAATTTTTTACCTATTATCTCAAATGTTTTGTGCTATTGGAGTTCTTGTTTTCATTAAGGAAAGCCCAGAGATTGAGATTGGCATTCAATTACCAGGACTAAACTTCAAGACTCTGCTCTTCGGATAATAATCCACACCAGACTGGGCAGACCCATCCCGCGTGCTGCAGCGGATCTTGGAGGTCCTGTTCTGATCCCCTCTGCGGATCACCTTGATGTTGAGAATGGCAATGGCATCTGGCCCTGCAGGTTCCCGGACTTGATATGCAGCTTCTTCAAACTCAATGGTGGGGGCTGAGGAAACACAGTTAAGCACAGGAAAACCAATTTGGTTGGCACAAAGGATCTAGACTTCCTTGCAACAGCAAGGAGCTGTCCTCATTAGTTAACAATACAGGCAGAATGGCTTGCAGTCACAAAATTTTTTACCATTAAGTAATGCATTGGACATAGAAATCATCTATGATCTTGTAGCAATTATTTCTCATATCTTTCTAAATTAAACACTATTTAATGGATAAAATATTTTTAGATATTTTAAAATGCATGATGTTCAAGTTTCCGGCTTGGTGCATTATAGCTCACAGAATATTTTTTCGGTTTGCATAATTCATCAAGAGGGACGGAGACACAGTAGGCCCCGATAATAGCTATTGATCGATTACCTGAATCAGCTTTTCATTTAGAAGACATGAATTTGTAAGGTTTTTAATTTGTCTCATTATACACTATTTGAAGCGACTAATTCCATCCTTCATCTCTAGTCTTTTGGAGGTTTTACCTCACTTCCCCAGTGCTCTTTCTTGCCCCATCTTCACCTGTTTCTAACTTTTCTCATGCTACTTAGATAGGCATGGGTAGCTTTAGTGAATGGCTACAGTGATGGGTTAAGAACATAAGGCCACATCATGCAATCTGGTTTTAGGTAACCATCTTTTTGTTGTTGCTAGGAAATGATTGCTCATAATGTGTACATATATCCCAAGAAATTCAAATCATGGGCAAAGGAGCGATGGTGATGGTAGAGAGAAAAAGGAGATATGAATATTGAGATTAGTTATAAATTATATATTATTTCGAGTATTCACTGAATACTACTAATCTTTCCAATCTATGTTTTCCTCTCAGAAAGACACATCTAATTGCAGAATATGCTTCATTTGAAAAATGCATTGTTTTAGTAAGAAGGCTCCTTGAAGCTTAAGAATGTCACTGTTACTCTGAACTGGATACTTTCCTGGCACTCATGTTTTCCATGTGTCTGGGAAAGGTTCAGTTTAGCAGCAGAACACGTAGTTTCTTGAGGCAAAGGACTGATTTAACTTCAAGGCTGGCCTTTCTTATTTTACCTCCTGTCCAGGTGAGTGAGTTATTGATGTCTCACTAGAAATGTGAGGAGGTCCTTGACATGGGGCTTATGTGGTAGTACAGTGTGTTAACCGGTTTTGCAACATTGGCATCCCATATCAGAATACTGGCTCACATTTCAACTACTCTGCTTCCAATCCAGCTTCCTGCTGATGTACCTTGGAAAGCAGAAGAACAAAACTCAGGGTTTTGGGCCTCTGGAACTTATATGGGAGACCAGGATGAGTTTCTGGCTCCTGGCTTTGAAATGGCTATTGCAGCTCATGGCTATTGAGCTCATCTGTGAATGAGCTCACAGATGGAAGATCTTGCTCTCTCCCTTTCTCTCTCTCTCTTTCTGTGTTTCAACTAAGTATTTTTGTTTTCTTTTTGTGTCTCATAGGCTCTCAGAGTAGTTAAGTATGCAGCTTCTAGAACTGGATAAAATATGATTCACCTCCAGTTTTGCTACTTAGCTGTGTAACTAAGTGCAAATTAAATAACAATGCTGAGGTTGAGCTTTTTCACCTGTAATATAAGGACAATAACACTGACTGTAAGGAATTACTGCCAGGTTTAAGTGAGCAATAATATAATTATGCTCACCATGAATCTTAGAATTGCAGTAAATATGCAACAAAACTGCTATTACTATTTCTAATATTATCCATTTGTTCATCAAGTTATTTATTTTAGTAAAATAATTGGTCCTATTGTGAAAATTATTTTGTTTCCTTGGTGCCTGGGTCATTCTTTGCAAACATCTGACTATAGAATTTATAGATAGAAGCCTAAATCAATTAGCGAATAGAAAACCTAGAAATTGGATTTTTCTGAGAAGGTAGCAGTGTTTTAAATCAGTTCACTTTGTTAGACACATGCTGATTGTATTTCCAATCTTGCTGTTGCTGATGGTGACTTAGTTTTCATTCTTTTTTTTAGTGCATCTGTCCTAGCTTGTAGCCATATTAATTCCTTATGGCCAGGCCCTGCGGTAGAGAATAATGAGAGAAAACCATCCAGTTGTATAGAAGGTGACCATTTGCAGCTAACCTTTGATACACATTTTCAGAGATTATCAGTAAGAGCTTTTATAATGCTTTCATTTTTTTTCAAAACATTAATGGCAACATTATTAGTAAAACATCAGTTCGTATTAACCCAAGGTTAACTAAAGGCAATTTTATGTATTACCATCTTCATCATTGGATATGGTTATGGTGGCCATGTTATTCTTCCCAATTCTAGCTCCACTCCAGTGGTTTCCAAGGGGGTGACCCAGGTAGACCTTGAATTGTTCCTCTGGCTCAAATATGGAGTCGTCATGGATATAGACAGTGCAGTTCTTCATCTAGAGTCAATGGCATAAGATAGATCAACATTTGCCAGAAGATCTCAGTAACTTAGGCGATTTTCCTAGAAAACTGTTCTTTTCTTTTACCAAAGGACACACATTTAAAGAGATTTAAAAAAAAGTGTTTTTTAACCAAACTATGTGTAACAGCTCATGCCTCAGTTGGACCTCTCCATATGCCAAGACTAATATTAGAACACTTCCAACAATTCTAAATTCTTGGCGATGAGTTCCAAAAAACCCATAGCAAAAAGACACAACCCATCTGAAAAGCACCTGTAGACTCTCCATGTGCTTTTCCTTATCTAGCCTATGCTCCTCAATATGTTTGTACATGTTGTAATTGGCTGATTTCTGATGATCAGCGTCTGACATACTGATTAAATGTCCTGGAGAGCTGAGTAATGCTTCTTTTCATATGTAAAAATTAAGAAGTCTTAAGGCAAACTTTGTGTCCGTGGAAGACATCTTCAAAAGTTAGCTCTGCAATCTATGAACAAACAGTATTGTAGCTGAAACCAGCCGAGAACATAATCCTAATTCCTAGATGATGACGACAAAATCAAGAGTTTGTTCGACTGATTATTCTCTGCCAAGGACGTATTTTTAGAAAAAATGCAGATCAGGTCACGCCATTTTTAAATAACACAGTAGCCTTAATAGTTGAACATAGTATGAGCCGGAATACTTTCAGTATGACCCTTCTGGATGCACTTGCTTGTCATAGTAAAAGGGATCTATGGATATAGAGAAGCTTCATTTTTAGATTACCTAAACCCCTGTGACTTTTCCATATGGTTTTAAATCCCTAAAGAATGTCGTCTGGTTTTTGTCATATAACATTTTCCTAGAATTAGTATTCTTTATAGGAAGCTTGAATGTGGGATGATCCTTCAGATTAAACAAAGCAAAAAAAAAAAAAAGTTTAGAGAACTGTAGATTTCAAAGACATATGCCCAGTAAACTAAGGAAAAAGATTTCCAAGTATGCTTAAAAACAGTGCTAAATTGCTGTGTGTGTGAGACATATGGACTACTAAGCTGTATTTTTGCTCATATTTTTATTAGATTAAAAATTGCATCTTGCATAGGCAGAGAGAGAACTCTCTCTGAACTTAAAATGAACTTAAAATGGAGACATGAAGATGCAAATTTGAAGATTGTATCTGCAGTATTTGTAGATGTTTTTAAGCACATGTTGTTGACTACCACCAGTAAAATCCCCACAAAACATATAACTAAGGCAGGCGTTTGGGTCATGAATGTGTAAAAATGATGAGTCCCAAAGAAGCAGTCAACAGTGTTAATTTTTGCAGTACAGATAACTAAGTAGATAGATTCTGGGCTGATCTGTAACAAGCAAGGTAAGATCTTATTCTCAACTTTTTAAAGCCTAATCCTAAGACAAAGTTGTGTCGTACTTGATTTTCCCAAAGTTGAAGATTTCTTTTCAACCAAGAACATCAAAGTCAAAAGTGATAGGTAAGGAACAAAAACAAAGGATGAAGATTTCTATAGCAGCTAAAGTGTTTAACAAGTACTAGGATTTAGGCTATGCAAGACAGCATTATATGTCAGTAAGAAAAAGCAATACCATAAGGAACAAAAGATTAAAGTGATTTTAGAAGCTTATTGGAAACTTAATAATATATAAAATCAAAATTGGAGAAATATAAATTTAAAAAATGGGATATTGCTAATATACACATTTGACTAGCACAAATTCAAAAGATGTGTAATGATAAACTTTGGAGAGCATGCAGGGTTATGGCAATGCCCATGCACCTCTAATGATATTCATAAAAGTCTCTGGGCACTGTTTTTTTTAAATTAAGCTTCTGTAGGCCCTCCATGGCCCATACATTTTCTGATGTATACATTCAGGGTTTTTTCACTCTGTTCTGTAAGTGAACATATATGAGGCTGTGCAGTAAAGTATTATTTGTGTTAGCAGGTTGTTGCCATCACGGTTATTTCTCACTAATGCTGAGATTCACTGGAGAAAAACATGGTAGATATGTACCATGAAACATCTGCAACTGTTAGAAGCAGCAACTTAGGTGTAAGCAAAGTCACAGACATGTTTTAACATGTACTGCTGAGTAAAACAGTAAAGCATTGAAAAGATTTAACAGCATTTCCTAAGTTAAAAATCTTGCATATGAAATTATTTTTTAGGAACAACATAAATCAAGAGAGATACATATTAAATACAAGAAACCCACAGATAGGAAAGGCAATATGACTGGAGAATGGGAGTAAAATAAAATCAAAGCAATATCAGCACTTTGTACTGACAAACGAGGACTATCTGCTTGAACAAACGGTGCCACTGACTCAACCTTCTGGAACTGGAGTCAAAAAGGGGCAGATGTGGTTCGCACTTAACATACTCAGAGGTTGCAGGCTCCGGGTCAACCATAGTGATAAGTGTCTCATGAGTTTACACATCCATAGGTGTAACTCCTCATGAACCTTGCCAAGAAAATACCCCATTGACTTGATTCTACTCAGCTGCTGCCTGTTTGGTGCTATGCATGGATACATGTCAACCTGAGGCAAAGACCAGCTAGTAGAGAACTGTCTCTTTTCAGTGACATTGGCAGAGTATATTCATTTCTGACATACTTCCAGATAAGGAAGAGGCCTAATCCATTTGATTCTTCTAAGTTCCCAACATGTATGCCATCACTATAACCTTCCTAGCTTAACAGTTGATACATACAAATGAACTTCCAGAAGTTTCTGAAAAAAAAATTGAATTATAAGTATATTTTGGTTCAGTCTTTTTAAAATTCGTGCATATTGTTTTCATAATGTGCATTTTCACTGAGTTTCTTGAAGACTTTTCACATATATTTTCGATTGCAAGTTGGAGACGAGACAACCAAATGGAATAGGTATAACATTATTATAATGATCGTGTAGCAAGGTAATTCTGAGAATGTTCAGAATTGATCTAAAGTACTATGGATGAGCACAGACAACAAGGAAGATGGAATTTGCATTTTGCAGCCACCACAAACCACTTACTTTGTCCCCTTTCAGGAATGTGATGCGTGAGGAGTCCGCATTTCTTCTTTCCTCAAAATCTTCCATGACCCGAGCCGAGTGGCTCTGAGTATAGCACCTCACTGATGACTCATAGCTCAGGTCTCCATTTCGGATGACAGGGATGTGCAAAACGCCCTCCTTCTCCTTCACCAGGAGCAGGTCCTTGGCAAACTGCATGCTGGGCACTGGGTGAGCAGAACGAGGCACCATCAGTGAGAGACAGAGGAATGCAGTGGTCACAGGGAGGCTGGCAGGAAGCGGAATCCAAGGCATGGCTGCTGCCCTCAAGACAAGGGAGCTGCTTCCACAGGCAAGGACCCAGAGAAATGAAATACATCAGCTACACCTGTCTGCTCAGCCTCGAGGTACAGGTGGTACAGTCACCCTTTCAGATGCAGGCAAGTGATGCAAATTAAGGATCAGGTATAGAAAAACTGTGATAGTGACTTGGGTACTCAAAAGAGTCCACTTTCTTCCAAGGCTACAATAAAGAAAATAACAGCACAAATCTGATGATAAATGGCCATTCACCGGGACCCTGCATCCAAGGAAATAGCGGGGAGGAGTGAGAACTCAAAGTGAACAGAGCTTAAAGGCTCCAGTCTTTTGTTGCTAGAGGTTATTTTTCCAACAGAGTGAGAGATGTGGATTTTGCCCCATGAACTTAAAAATAGCCACTGAAAAAAGTAAGAAGAAAGTCCACAGAAGCCAGGCTTGTGTGGATTAAAAAAAAAAAGACATAATTACTGTCTGAATTTGGCCAGTCTGTGACCAGTTCTGTAGAATTCTTTTATTATAACTTGTGGCCTCATTTGATTCCAGAGAAGTATCAACACTGGATTTTGCTTACAAACAAGGACTTCAGAGTAAATAGATATGAATTCTCATTCCAGTCATGCTACCTATTGTATGGCAAAGGACAAATTGTTTCGACTTCTTGAGCCTTGGCCTGTTTTTCCAAATAAAAGTCAGATATATTAATATCTAATTAGAAGTATTTGCAGGATTGTATTTAATATTTGCCTGGCACTCAGTATAGCATCTGTCCATGAACGGCAACTCATATATTGCAAAGAACTAACATATGATGGTTTGTATTTGCTCCCTAACTCTAGCTTCTAGATACAAGGGATCACTTCTTTAATCTCTCCATTTCCTACAATGCCTACTGTGATGGTTCACTTTAAGGCATTTCCCCAAGAACAACATTTTGTTGACTTCTGGTTATTAAAATTTTCACCAACATTGCCCAGAGTCGTATGTCAAAATCTCCTGAGGTAGAATTAGTCATTGGGGCAGCAGGAGGCTGGTCCTAAAGCTCTAATCACCTATTTTCTGGCTACCTCCTGGATAAGCCCTGCCAAGTCTGAAGGGAAGACACAAGAAGGAGGTAGTGCAAGTACCCGAACACTCTGCAAGCCAATATGTTGAAAGTTCTGTTTGTCTCCCACTGACCTCCTGTTCCCAAATGTTGGCTTTAGAGCAATGGAAACTATCTGTTCAAACTAAGCCCAACTGTTACCAGTTATTACTAAATAAAAAGCCAGAAGTAACTTTAAAAAAAACGAAATTAAAAGAAAAGGAACAACACAGGCATTAAGCCCAACCCTGGGGTCTAGGATCCAGTAAAAAGCTGCTAAAGATGGGTTCAATGACACTAGCTCATACAGGACAAGGAGGATGCTGGTTGCCAGGGGAAGGGTCTAAGGTCAGAGGAAGAAGGTTAAAGTGGTACTGTTTAGCTTTTGTCCTGAATCAATCGGCTTTCAAGCCATCTTAAGTCTTCTTTTCTCCCTTTAACAAGATACCCTCACTTCTCTCTCTGCACAAAGGGGGGAGGAGGGCCACACACACAAAGAAGACAGTGAACATTTCCCACAATCATCTTCCCCGAAATAATCTCTGTGTTGAAGGTGATTTTAGGCCCTTGGGAGAGCGAAGGGAAAAATAATGTAAGGCTGCAAGGGGTGTGCAGGAATAGATCCACACATAGGGTTCTCTCATAGAAACCAATACAGGTGCCATTCTCTGAATAACCTCAAAAGGAATAGAATCCCCAGGAAGGGGAAGCACTGGCCATGGGAGGCAGTTTCCCTTGACTGCCCAGCCCCCCTCATTCTACACTGATGGGGCACATAAAAACAAAACAGGCCACCTTTCAAAGGCTCAGGGACTTGCATAATACATTTATTGTTGGCATTTCACTCTCTGAAAACTTAAACAGAATCAGCTTATAACCTTTTTATTTTTCTAAGTCTCATCTCCCCAAATAAAACATGAGACACTGCTCTCCATCACTCTGCAGCCAGTGGCAAGTGGAGCACCAGTGGTAGGCACAGAAAGTATTCTATAAACATGGTCATCTTACTAAGCTGCTTCATAACTGACAGTGAACATAAACACCAGTGGCTGGAATGCAACAGCCTCTTTAAGAATAAGGATTGGTCTGGAGATTTAGGAGAAAACCTGCCCCTGGTTCTACTGGTTCTACTGATCTAATAAGTAGGAATGAGACTGTTGCATACACAGGATTAAAGTGCTGTGGGAGCTACCAGGCTTGTCTTGTTTTGCTCAGTAAGCCACACCCACAGCAGAGTCTAATTCTGGGAACCAAAGCAGTAGACAAAGGAGAAAAACATGAAAATAGGCTGAGGTGAGCTATGTGATTATCTTAGGGTCCTCAAATCGGGCTGGTAGAAAACGATGAAAACAACTAAGCTCACTCTAGAAGGCTGAAAGTTGACTTTATAAGGACCTTGTATGCTGCAAAGCACAGCTGTACAGAGGGAAATGGCAGCTCGAGCGCAAAATGGAAAGTTAGCACAGTAAGATGTGAAGATGGACTTGGAATTGACATGAGTTCTAACTCCAGCTCCATCACTGCCTGTTCGTGTGATCTTACACAAAGTCTTCCATCTCAGCCTGGAAGGAAGATGAGAGAGAACATGGCCAATCTCTTTCCACAGTGGAGTGTGCACCCTGAATGGGCTCAAAATCCAGTTGTTACTCAGAAGAAAGGAAACAAGAGGAGAAACCATGAGCACCATGGTGGCTTGGAACTGAGGCTTCTTCGTCTGGGATCTGTTCTTGCCTGGCTGTACAATGATGTAACTTCCCTAAAAGATGAGATGTATTTTGTTTAACATTTTCATGTTCTCTGTGTACCGCCCATGCCTATTAATTAGATGCTAAGAAAACTCTAAATGGAATCTTTTTGTGATGATCAGAGTATAACAAAATAAGTCATTTCCTAGGTAAGTGCGACAAATTGCAGATATGTCAGGGAAGAGATTAATATTTAATATAATGTGCTATGTGCCAGATGCTATAATAGGCATTTTCACAGATGTTATCTGGCTTAATCCTTAACAAAACAATCTTATAGTATTTTCACTACTTACAGATGAATAAAATAAGGGTTGGTAACCTTCAGCTTCTGGTTTAAGGCCAAAGAACTAGGAAGTGGACTGGGGTTACATAGGACTTCTGCATTCACCTTCTACTGTATCTGAGGTAAGTTAACTGTCATCTCATGCAAAAGAATAAGAACTCATTTTCAGCATACAAAGAATGAATGAATTTCCTTCTTTTTCACTTCATTAAGGAAAAAAAAAACCCTACAGACTTCCCTATTGCACCAAATAAAACAGGTAGTTTAATGCAAGTGTCAGAATGCATGCTGGAAAAATAGACTTTGGGTGATATCGTTATTTCACTGATTCTCAGTTTCCTTATCTACAAAATAAAACCAGAAGTAAAACCACTGGATTATGAGCAAATGAGATAATGTTTAATGGATCACTGTAAACTCTGCAGTAGCATGTAATATAAAATTTATAATTGTTATAATCTTGTTCATAGTTAAAGAGTTACCACATTATAACTCACAAAGGTAAGTGTAAAACTTTGGAACAAAGGTGGGTTAGGCAAGATTTGCTAGACATATCAATGTAAAAGAAGAACTTTTTAGTGAAATTGGAGCTGTTCAAAATGAGGGGAAATAACTCCAAAATAAGAAAAATATTTGGTTATAAGACATCACAAAAAAAGATATAGGGATGGAAAAAGTGATGAAAATAACTCAATGCCATTAGTCACTATATAAAACATTTTAAACTGCAAGATGTCATTATATGTATACATATGCGCACACACACACACACCACAGTCCCTCCAGTGACTCTCTCTTGCATTTCCAAAGACAGGTCTAGCCTTGTGTTATTCCCTTAGCATTCCTGTCCAACAACCTACCCCTCAGGGAGCAAATCCTATGAAGTTTGAAATGCCCAGAAAAGCTACCTCAGCTTTGCCCACTCCCCCATCTCTCAAAATCCCCTCACTCCTCTTAACATCCCAGACCTTTAAGCTGTAAAGACCTCTTTTTGTATACATTGCTCTCCACTTGAGGTGGACTTTCCTGCATCGTCCATGAGTTAAACCTGAAGACTTGGATGAACTACTGTTCTTTTTGTGATATCTTCAGATTCCCCACTGTTTATAGGTTATGTTCAGTTCTCTCTGCTCGCAGAGGTCTGGATTTATAACCCCTCAAGGTCATTTAGCATAACACATTCTGACTTTCCTGTCTAACAGTGTGATTGCACACTTAGACACTGAGCTTCACGAGGGCAGAACCTAAGACTTAAACATCTCAGGCACAGCACCAGCAACTGGAAGGGTTGTCTCCCGTGTCCTGCCACAACAGCATATCTGTGTGCACACACGTACCTAAACACATATCTTGATTGAACACGTGAGTTCTGATGCTGCTTGCACAGAAGTTAAGGGAAAAACAGAAATACATCGTGACCCACCCACAGGCATCCCTGGTGTCTTACCATCTTGGAATGTGTCATTTATCGCAATAACAGCCTGGAAGGGTTTGGTCAGTTCGGCGCCTTGTGCTGAGCTGAGGAAAACCACAAATGTCTCCAGTCCCTCGATGACAGGATACTGAGTGTCATCTAAGATAGTCAAGGTGCAATACTAGAAGAGAAACCAAAGCTGACTTTACCGAAGACTCCAACACACATTTGCCCTTGGAAGACTGGGACAAACAGCAACTTGCCCTCTTCTAGCAAGTTTAAAATCTGTGAAAAGATCATCTCTTTACTATATGTCTCTAAGAGTTTGTTTCTAGATATTTACATCAAACTAGTGCAGTTTCTATCCTAAGTCTCTCACGCTGGATATATGATACTCAAAAAGCCCCTGTTTGTCGGGGGTAGTTGGTAGAAGATGTTCCCCTAATTTTATTCCCTTGTCTGAATGTTTGTGGTTTTAAAGAAAGTGGTGAAGGGGAGATAAGAGTCTTCAAGGAAGCTTGGCAAACAGACTGAAGACGATAGGCAATTTCAGACCCAGCAGGCCTGGTGACTGTGGTGCATTGATGGCTTAGGTACCCACCTGCTCAGTGGCACCAGGCCCAAACTCCACCTTCCTGGAGCTGGGAACATAGTCAACACCTGGAGTGGCAGAAGCTGGGTCCGAGGGCCGAGTGGCACACCAGACAGACGTCAAAGTGGAAAGGTCAGTTCCATGCCGGATAACTGGAATCTTCACTGTGCCTGGATGATGATTAATACAGCCTTTAATGGTCAACCTTGCACCAGGTTTGCAGAGCAACATTCTTCATGCAGAAATGTCAGCTCTGTCCCCTTCAGCTTGTCCAATCCAAGCTCTAGCAGTGATGGTCTGAGTGGGGCTGGGAGGTGTCCCAATCTTCTTGCTACTGACACTAAGATCAAGAGGAGTCTTAGGGGAACTAACAGGGGGACTGTTGAAGTCACAGATCTGAGTGGAGTCTTGTGGCCCCACAGGGATACTGCTCACTGGAGTAGAACAATGATGGTCAGGAATAAGGGGTCATTGAAAATTATATTAAGCCTCTTTAGAGAGAAGAAACTCAGATTATGGTCATGGCTAAAAATCAGCTGGGAAAAGCTATGGGTCTGGGACTGAATGTTCCTTTTTTTAAACGTTCTTAATTGAGTTGATTTTTTCCCCTATTCTATCCTAGTGGCACCCATAATCGTTAGAAGTATACGTGCGTATTGAAAATCTTTAAGTTAAAAAACAATTTTATTTATTAAAAAGGCAGGGAAAGAGACAGAGGTAGAGAGAGGGGGAGGGAAGAAGATGAGAGGGAGATGGAAGAAAGAGAAAGGGAGAGAGGGAGAGGAGAGGGAAGGAAGGAAGGAAGGGATAAGACAGGAGAGGCGGACAGGGAGATGGAGGAAGAGAGGCAGAAAGCGGGGGAAGAAAAAGAGAGGGAGAGAGCAAGCATGACAGAAAAAGGGAGAGAAAAGGGGGGAGAGATCTCCTATTTGCTAGTTTATTCCCCAAATGCACAAAAGAGCTAAGGGTTGGCCAGGCCAAAGGAGAAGCCAGCAGTCCAATGCAGGTCTCTCACGAGGGTGACAAGGACCCAACTACTTGATCCATCACCTGCCACCTCCAAGGGTGCCTGTTAAGGGAAAGCTGGAATGAGATGCACAGGTACAACTCAAACCCAGTTGCTCCATTATGGGATGTGGGTGCTTAAGAGTTGTACCAAACTCCCCCCTTTCATTGCTTATTTTAGAAACAGTGTGGCATCATGCATCGTCATGTCCTAAGGATCTTTAGTGATTTTCATATCAAGGTCAGGGAAAGGCTGATATGATAAGCCTCATCACCATGTTTTTCAAAGCCAATGAGCTGTGAAGTGACCTGGAGTTAGGCCTGAGCCTCTGGTGGATGAGGGGGTACAGTTCAAAAGGGCTCTAGTTCAGCTCTGCCATTCTAGTGGCTACTCAGACTTTCAATTCTTTGATCTCTCTAGGCCTCCATTTGCTCTTCTCTGGGATGTCTTCTCTTCATGGAAGAACCAGTGAGAATACATGGGACACACAGGGAATGATGTCTGCATCTGGTACCCATTCAAAAACATTAGCTCCCAATAGCCATGAGAATCCCTCTAAAAAAGTAAAAGGCCTTTGGGTTCAGACTAGCCAGTGCTCGGCACCACTGTGCCATGGGGTATATCTGCCTATGCAGGCACAAGCGGAAAGGAGCCTAGGTCTCATCCACCATGCAGAAGATACCTGCCTGCTCCTGGATAATACATGATGAGATTGCAGGTGCGTCAAGAGCCTGAGGCTCTGGATCATATGGTTCAGCAGCTAACAGGACACTTAGATGCATCTGTATCCTCAGCAGCTCACACCCCTTCAGTCTTCACAAAGCCAAATGCTTAGAAGCCTGAACCCCCACTGGACACAAAAGTCAGCACATAACACTCCAGCTCCCTAACACTGTTAATAACTGGAATAAGACAGTGGAAGGAGCTCCTTTTCCACACGACCTTCCATTCTTGGTCTTGATTGCCTAACATGGCATAATATTTCAGAGCAGCAATGGTGTCACTCAGAAATGGCATTCTCAAAGTCTAAATTGTTTGTGAAAGAGATCTGGAGAGGATGATGGAAGCAAGGTGCTCTGTATTACCTGCATCCTCGCTGACAGTGAAAGCTGTGTTGCCCAGGGAGACGGTGGAGGCATCATTAGGGCCACTGATGACCACCTTGGCAGTTGCCACCCTTCCAATGCGGGCGTTGTCGGATGCATCAGCCAGGGCAATCTCAAATTCTTCTTCCTCTTCATACTCGCTGTCATCAATGAGCATGACGTCACAGGTGGACATGGTGACACCGGGACCAAAGATCACACGACTTTCAGCAGACCTCCCTCTAGACTTAAAATCAGAGCCTGATTCTAAAGCATAGAGACTGCTTCCCAGAGCTGATTTGGGTATCGTGTAGCAAACTGCAGATACGATGCTGCTCGAGTCTCCTGAAATACAGATGGCAAGAAAACCAAAGCATTTGAACAAGTGCTTTTTCACATCCTGAAGCCTCCCATAACTTGATGAGCTCAGTTCCCGCTGACTTGTTCTATTACTGCTTATGTTCAAAAACTGATGAGAAACCTTTCTGACTTGCAGTGTCTTTTAAGCTGGTGGTATAATACACTGCTTGAGGATTTAATATACACAAGCCACTTCACTATGTCCCCAAATAACTTTAAATGGATTTCCTATCCTGTGGTTTTTGTGCTCTGTTAAGTCACAAGACTCATTGCCTACCGTTGAAGACCACAGTGGGTGGAAAGCTAAGAGACACATTTGGTACTTTGAGTACCAAAGTAATTGTGTCCTGAAGGTAGTGTTTTGAGTACAGTTCGTTGCCTTTGTCAGTAAACTTCTGCACTTTAATTCCCTGAGAGAAACAAGCTTGCTTAGAAACAGACAAAAGAAAATAAAACCTGCCTCTCTGTACAAATGACTTAAGAATACCGTCATTTCCCTTGGTTGACAGCCTGCTAAGGGCCTGCCTGGGGGCCCACGGCAACCAGTGGGGCTTGCTTATTTTCTGGGAGGCATCGCCAAAGGTTTGCACGATGCACAGTATTTGTTCCAGGAATAGTCAGTGAACACAGACAATAAGAATGCTGACATTATCATTTACTATTGTGTGGCTTTGAATGGAGATTTCATTTCTATATGCTTAAAGTCTCCATATTACAAGTCATAAATCCACAGATCTTTGCTTCAGTTTTCAACCCATCTAGAATTGCCCTTTGTTTCTTATACACAGCTGATTTCTTGACTGAGCTCTATGTATACTGATGTAGGGAAATCTTTTAGCACATTCTCTATCTCCTAAGAACTAAAGTGGAAAGCCAGTTCTTACAAACTGTAACTTCCCTCCTTGGCCAAGGTTACTAAATATTTTATGGATTATATGATTGATCAAGTATACTTGAGTTCATGAATAATTTTCAGGGCTAAATATAACCAGTCTTCTAGCTTAATTCAAGATTAAATGGGAGCTCTAAAAACTTGAACTAAGAGAGGCGATCTGATAGGACTCACTGTAGGTAGAATCATCATTAGGCTGTTCTGGGGACTGAATAAATTAATGCATAGGAAGTACTTACATACATGGTTGGATATGAGATATGAATAACTGGTACATAAAAGGGAACCAATAAACATTAGCTCACATTAGACCTCCTTGTCACTTTTGGTACCAACAGACCTTTTCTCTCAATAGGTGCAAACAGAAAACCAGCACTCTCGTTGACTCGGTAGGTCTTCTTGTCAAACTCTAAGGTGGGTTCATCTTCGGTGTCATTGATAATGACCTTTGCCTGAGTGAACTTCCCTAAGAGGGCATATGCTGGCATGCTGAGCTCCACAAAGAAACTTTCAACATTCTCAAACACGTCATCATCATTGATGACGATGGTGCAGGACTTGGTATCCTCTCGCTCGTCAAACTGCACCTGTCACAAATAAGAAACGAGAGACTGAGCTGTGCCTCATGTTCATTGGCCAGCTCTATCATGAGAGAAAAGCACCCAAGTTCAGTCAGCAGGTCACTGACCCAAATGGTGCATTCTTCTAAACCCCACCTGCTGCTCTGCTCCACAAAGCATGTACTCACCTCTTCTTACTCTACCTGTGCATGGAAGTGGATTCACCATATAGGAATGTAGAAGACAAAGACACCTCCTACCACTTAGGAACTGTTGGAAAACCTGGCAATGATTCCTCTTCCACTTTGTTGTTTCAGGACAGCAATAATCATTGCCTGACTGCTCAATGACCTGTTTTTCTTTGGCAAATTCAATAAGAAAGATCTCTGACCTCAGAGTGTAATGTTCTGATCTCAAGTGCTGCTTCTCTTGCTTCCGAGGTAGATAATATTATAAAACTGCACAGACATCAGATTCTTCATCAATTAAATAACAACAATATGCTCACCTCACATGCTTATTGGGAAGACCAACAGAAAATGTACAAAGCGCTCAGTGCATTTTTAAAGCATTCAACAAATGTGAAATATTGTTAATATCATGTTGCATATACAATTAAAATTGCAAGAGAATCTCATTATACTTAATGAAGTTTGTATTCACAGAAAGCTATATTATACATTATCTAGATTAATTTTAACCTTATATTTGGCTAAATCCTTTGCCATTTAAATGGACTAGAATAATGTGAATAAATTTAGTCTGGCAAAAATGGAGAAATTATTTATATGCTCACAACTGAATAAAAGTTTTTTGATTCAGGTTTTATTCTGTTTAAAACAAACATAAAAATCGAGCCCAGCATGGTAGCCTAGCAGTTAAAGTCCTTGCCTTGCATGTGTTGGGATCCCATATGGGTACCAGCTCATGTCCTGGCAGCCCTGCTTCCCATCCAGCTCTCTGCTTGTGGCCTGGGAAAACAGTTGAGGTTGGCCTAAGACCTTGGGACCCTGCACCCATGTGGGAGACCTGGAAGAGGCTCCTGGCTTCAGATTGGCTCAGCTTTGGCCATTGCAGCCACTTGGTGAGTGAATAAGCAGATGAAAGACCTTTCCCTCTGTTTCCCCTCCTCTATGTATATCTGTCTTACCAATAAAAATAAATCTTTTAAAAAAAAAGATAAAAATCTTCCAACAAAATCAGTACTTTTATTTGCTCAAAAATCTAAGGAATGGGAAGTGAAGGGATTATATTTTGTAGAAAGAGACACTTAAAACCTGTGAGAAAATCAACAAAAATCTGTAAAGACCACACACCTCTGAAAAAACATAATTTTAATAAAGTAAAGAATCAGTACAAATCTAACCAAGTAATCCAAGTAACTTCTCAAACTACCTCTGACAAAATGACCAGTATTTAGTTAAGATTTAGAATGCACTCTTGGTCATTTGTCTTTCTTGAAAACCACACAATAGACTGTTTTATTTTACTGAGGCCCTTTGGCTTATATGTTCTTTCTAATAACGTCCAACTGAATATTAGAGGCCTGGGGTTTCTCCAGCTGACATTCTTCAACTAAGGGATGGAAACTGCTTCCCTTGACAGAGATTAGCACTGCCATGAGGATAATGAAATTGCTTTGAAAAACATTGCCTAAATACCAAGTAAGTGCTAGTCACTCTACCCGGCATAAGAGATGACAGAGCCTTTTCCCTATGTGCCTTCACTATTGAAGACCTTTCTCTTTTTGCTTTTTACTCTTTTTCCTCTCTTTTTGCCAACGTGGCAATAATTACCAATAGTATGTAAAAGGGGACTTGAAAATGCCTGTGAAAGAAATGGAATTTAAAGATAATATGACCTTTTCATGAACTTTCTGAAATACCGCTATAGATGATTTGCAAATTCCTCTCTACCATAGATCCCTTATTGCCCCACTTTAGATGGTCAACTTGTTTCACAGACAATGAGCAACGCTCAGCATGTCCAACGCAAAGTCACAAAGTCACCTAAACTTGCCAAATGCACCCCTGTGTGCTTTCTCCTACAAGAGGAGTTTGCATTTGCCTCTCCTTTTTGCCCCAGTGTCTAATACTCTGTTCATCCCTATCAATGCTTACCCACTGGCTGAACCCATCCACTGCCTTCAAACCTCACTTATTAATTGAAATCCAAATTCCTATTATGTCTCAAACTGGCCTGTCCCAAGAGCATTCCAACTGGTCTTCCTTTATCCTTTCTTCCCTCCCTTTAGGGGAAGGAACGTAAAGAAAGAGGAAGGTTTAACATCATTGGTTCAGTGTAAAACTTGATACTCTGGAAATTACTCTTTTGTTATGAAGCAAAATGCAAAGATTGAGAAGCGAGGTGACAACTTAAGCTTTGGAAGTTAAAACATCAATGGCAATAAGAAAGACTGTAAGAACAAAGCATTATGGGTAGAGGATATAGGAAAATTACTTAAAGGAAGGATACAAGAGCAAAGAGAGTACAAGCAGGTCACAGACCTTGCCAGAGCTTTCCCGGTTGTCCAAGCAACAGAGGCCCATCCACCCCTACCTGGCCAGCATACTCCACATAATCCTGCTGTCCAGGCTGGGAGCCAAGCCTGGAGCTGGATCTTGCAGTGCCTTGCTCAGTACGACACAGGACGATGGCATACTGGTTCAAGTTCCCAGTCCTCTGCACAGTGACACTCACGGAGCCCACCTTCTCACTGACATTGTAGCTGTAAGTAAACAAAAGGGCCATCTTTGAAATCTTTTATCCTGTCACATGTTCAGGGCCTGTCTCTTCTGCTTGGTGACTTATGTCAGGCACTGCAGAGGAGAGGAGATTTGCCTCTTTTATGATGCCAGGTTGCAATCTGAAGCAATGTGTTCACCTGGAATAATCACAGCACCAAATGAACCAGGAAGCTGTCAATGCAGAATATCACTTGCCCAGTGGTGAAAGAAAATGGACAGTCATTTAGAAGATGGATAGCACATGGCAGCCATGAACTTTAGAGCACAGAACACAGAGAAATTACAAACAATTGCTCTCTAGTGTGGTCATCAGACTAGTTTAGTGAGTTCTTACGGGAGAAGCCTGCACAAAGGCAATTAATGGCTTAGTGCAGGCAGCAATGGGCTGGGACAGATCTTGAGAAGTGTGCAAGACAGGGTAGTGCCAGACGTGAGAAAATTAGAGATGACCTCAGTAGCAAAGGCAGTTTGACAAATGTAGCTTTAAGACAATGGGGGGAAAAGACAGGATACATTTAACTTACTGCCAGAAATTCATATTGCTTTTGTAAAGTTGGAGGCCAACAATACAGTCATAATAATTATGTAGGTTTAGAAAAGCAACAGCAAAAGAACATGCGTTGGGTTTGTTTTCCAATACTGAGGCTAGCCATTGGACCCTGTTTGTATCTTGCAGCTGTGAAGGCAGTAGGCAAGTACCTCATTTTAACTCTTTTACTATTTAGTCCATTAGATGTTAGACAATTACTGAAAAGCAGCTCTCAGCTTTGTTGTATTTATTTAATTTTGGAGGTGATTCTGCCAAAAGAACAGCAAACATTTCATATACAAAAATTGGTTCTAATTTCCCTCTAATCCTTCAAATGTTTGAGTGGAATGGTGTATATATATATATATATATATACACATATATCATAGCACATGAAGTCAGGTTCCTTTCTACCAAATTCTAACTGTCATCTGGATTGTCATGAAGTTCATTTCTTTGAAATGATGAGTCTCAAAAATGTAGAGTTGGGCCCGGCGCGGTGGCGCAAGTGGTTAAAGGTCCTCGCCCTGCACGCCCGGGATCCCATATGGGCACCGGTTCTAATCCCGGCAGCCCCGCTTCCCTTCCAGCTCCCTGCCTGTGGCCTGGGAAAGCAGTCGAGGACGGCCCAAAGCTTTGGGACCCTGCACCCGTGTGGGAGACCCGGAGGAGGCTCCTGGCTTCAGATCGGCATAGCATCGGCCGTTGCGCTCACTTGGGGAGTGAATCATCGGACGGAAGATCTTCCTCTCTGTCTCTCCTCTCTGTATATCCGCCTTTCCAATGAAAAAATAATAAAAATAAATCTTTAAAAAAAAATGTAGAGTTGAAGAATTTTTCGCTCCAGGGCAATTATAACCCTAGTTATAATGTAACTTACAATGACAGCATCATGCTTGCTTCCAGTCTTTATCTCTGTTTGCCTAACTTCCCAATAGATCAGGCAAACATTTAAAGAACTGTCAATATTAGCAACAAATTTTCCCCTAAAGACATATGACCATAGAAAAAAAAAAGGAGGTGAGGAAAATGCCAACTTGAGAACAAGGAGGTGCAGACAGAAGGTGATAAAGCCATGGGTGTAGGGCAGTGAACTTGTCTAGGAACTGATTGCCCATTTTATAGTTTTTCCACCAAAAATACTTAGTTGACTTTTAAAATTTGAACAAAGATGCAGACATACTGATATGTGAGGCAGTGAATACAATGGATAAGGTTACTGGGCTCAACTCCTAGGCTTATTGCTTGTTCATGGTGTGACTTGGGGCATTTCCTTAACTTCTTTGTGTCTGTATGGGTTTGCTGTCATGAGGAGTAGAATTCATCTAAAATTACAAGTATTAAATGAGATGAATTATGTTAGGTACTTAGTACTGTGCCTCATACATATAGTATTTAATCACTACCCCCACCCCCATCATCACCAGCAGAAGACAAGGCCTGACTCCCAAGCTGCTTTATCCCGATTCCATCTCCTGGTCAATTCACTTCTCGAGAACAGAAACACGTTAGCCTTTGTACCTGGTGTGTTGAAAGCTGATGAGAGACCACTGGATATGGAAGACATCACTGACCACATTGGGTTTACTGTCTTTCACTAGAAACTGGAAACTGTCCATCATCTCATAGATCTTCTCTTGGTGCAACATGTACCGAATCAGCCCCAGGTTTACATCCTCTGTGGGAGAAAAAATAGACTTACTGTGAATTAATCCAGAGAGGTCAAGGCAACCCCACAAGGACTCCATTTATTCTGGTAATGGGTTACAGACAGAACTTCTTTACCCAAGAACAAAAAGTAGAGTCTTAAAAAGAAGAATTTCTGCCAGATTTTGAAATGAAATCCTGCAGCTCCAAGTCACAAGAGCAGGATGCTGTAAAATGAGAACCCCAGGACCTTGACCAAAAAAAGCACTTCAGTAAACATCTGTGCAATGTGGAAATGCAATTCAGGAATTGACACAAGGAAAGCTTTGAACCCATCCCAAGTACAGCCTCATATCCAGCCCTTATTGATTCTACAGAAGGCTGCTTAGAAGGGATGTACTAATAGGAAAACTCTGGGTTGGATTAAACCAGCACATACACAATGCACAGATTTTAAAAAGTGGGGGAGGGGGCTCTTGGGGAAGGACCAGCACAGTGGCTCAATAGGCTAATCCTCCACAGGTAAGTGCCTGTATCCTATATGGATGCTGGCTGGTGTACTGGCTGCTCTGTTTGATTCTTTGCTTATGGCCTGGGAAAGCAGTGGAAGAAGGTCCAAGTTCTCGGGCCCCTGCAACCATGTGGGAGACCTGGAAGAAGCTCCTGGTTTTGTATTGGTTCAGCTCTGGCTGCTGAGGCCATTTGGAGAGTGAACCAGAGGATGGAAGAACTTTCTGTTTCTGTTTTCTGTGGATCTGCTTCTCAAATTAAAAATAAATCTTCTTTTAGAAAAAGTGCCTGGGAAGAACAGGCAACTAGACGTAGGGAGGATAAGGGAAACCCTGACCATGGACTATGAGATGCCATGTTAAGATGACCGCTCTCAGACAGGCCTGTTAACAGGAGTCTGTGAGAGTGTGGCAAGGTTATTAACCAACAAAAATATATTTCACTTGCTCTGTGATTCAAAACAGCAAAAGGTTTGTTGAGCAACATATGCATGCTGATTTTAATTTCTTGGCTAAAGAGTTAAAATCTATAATCCATAGGGAACAAAAAATAAGTGATGCAGGCGTATGTTTGCTCTGTTGGCTTTTAAAAAGAAACCAAGTAGTATCATAAGTCTTTTTTAGAAAACTTGGCCTAAATATAAAGTTTGGAAGCATAGTAAAGTGAGTTTTTCCTGCCACAGTTTAGAGCAAATGAGGGGGAAAAAAGGAGAGGTGAAATTCACAAGTTAGATGGTTAGACATTATAAGATCCATCTCTTTGCTGATGCGCTACTTAAGGGTATGCAGCCACAACTTGCTGTCAGAAAGATTGGGATGATTGAAGAATGGCATTGGAATAGGGTTTTCTATTTTTCTGAGTCCTCCAAGTCCCTTACCCTGGGTGAAAGTTACTGCAGCTCTGCCAGGTTGTAGCTTGTTCTCCAGGTAGCCATGCATGGGGCCCGTTGTGAGCTCATACACAAGCTGAGAATCCTCTGTATCTGGATCCATGGTCAGCAGTTCTTTCTTGGTGATCAAGTTGGTTGCCTGGAATAGAAACCCATGACACTGAATCTCCGGAGTGGCAATACAGTAGGATCAAGACCATCTGACTCAGATTTAATTCAGTTCAACCATGATTTACTGAGTGCAATTGCTTGCATAGGGTGTTCTGTCAGCACTGGAGAGGCTGTGAGGACAGAAGCTAGCCTGGGCTCTGTCCTTGAGGGATTCACATTTTATTCAGGAAAAAAAGCTCATGAGCAAGGTCAATGTGGCAGGAGCCATAATGAAGATATAAAAAGAGGGCTATCAATTTTTTTTTGGCAGAGAGGAATGGAGGGAGGGAGGAAAAGGGAACAAGAGAAAGAGCATGCGTGAGAGAGCGAGCGACTGCAACAGAGGGAGGAGATGAAGAGAAAAGATTGATTATTTCCCCTTGGTATTGAGAAAAGAGGGATTTGAGACAATCAAATTTGAGTTTGGCCTTGAAAGAAGATAGCAATTCTGGCAAAAATCATGCCATACAGAAATAATGACCACTTTATACCTTTGAAAGTCAATTGCAATACTTGAAATTTGATCACTGCAATGCTTGAAGTTGAATAGAATAAGAATTGCCTGGCATGCCCAAATATACTGGCTAGACTCTTTTTTCACTCATTCATTAATTCAGCAAGTATTTGGGAAGAGAAAACTTTGGGAGAAATCATCAGAATTAAATGTAGTGGGTATCATAAGATAAGGACAAAACATTAACCTTTGAACTTGGCACAACAGAAGTCACTGATACCTTATATAACACTTAAGTAGAGGAGCAGTGGAAGAAGCCCAATTGGCGAGTGTCGATAAAAGAATAGGATCATTCTGAATAGATAGGGGAGAAAAATCAAACAACTGAGAGGCATTTGCCTCAGTTTTGTTTCATGTATTTTAATAATTCCAACCAGTTTTGTGGAACCCTAAAGCTTGAGAGTTATACATGCAACCAGCTGATCAGTTCCACGTAGATGACAGGTGTCTGAGAGGGAATATTATCTACCAAAGTGAGACCAAACTGAGACATCAGCTCTCAACTGAACTCAAGAACTGTATCATCAGGCAGGAATGTGGATTTAGCAACTGGCATCCACCTGCACCTGCACCCGCACCCTAAAGTGATCACATTGGAAATGAGGAGAAGGAAAAGGAAATTTCTAAAGTACAAGCTCTCTCAAAACACTCGAATAGAGAAATAGACACTTCTACTCTGTCTAGGGAAGACACCAGATGCTTCCCGTAGTCCATCCACTGTCTGGTTCACAAAGCTACAGCTGACTCCAACTAAGTACAGGGGGTCCAGTTAGAGACAAATCTCCAGATTTCCACACAACATCTGGGCCAGCATGGCTGACTGCTTGCTAAGAGAATATGAGCACGGGGCCCAGAGTGGTAGCCTAGTGCTTAACGTCCTTGCTTTGCACACACCAGGATCCCATATGAATGCCAGTTTGTATCCCAGCTGTTCCACTTCTCTTCAAGCTCCCTGCTTGTGGCCTGTTAGAGCAGTAGAGGATGGCCCAAAACCCTGGGACCCTGCACCTACATGCGAGACCCAGAAGAAACTCCTGGTTTCAGATCTGCTCATCTCTGGCCATTGTGGTCACTTGGGAAGTGAATCAGCAGATGGAAAATATTTATCTCTGTATCTCTTGTTTGAATATCTGCCTTTCCAATAAAAAATAAATCTTAAAAAAGAGAGAGAATATGAGCACAAAAATATATTCAATGTCTAGATTATTGATTAACACGGGGTTCCTTCTCTTCTGCTTGTCTGCTTTCCCCTCCGAGGTAAAATCTAATGATAGATTTCTGAAGCCATCCAGCCATGTGGTCAATAGCAGCAATTGAAGGAAGATACTTACATATCTAAGTGGTTAGGAAGGACCTTGGACTGCCCTCTTTCTTCTACCCTATATATGAGCGGAAGAAAAACTTTCTAACGTGTGAGAGAGAGAGAGAGAGAGAGAGAGAGAGAGAGAGTGTGTGTGTGTGTGTGTACAAGGTACTTCAAAAATTTTATGGAAAATGGAATTAAGATATGTTTGTTTTGGTACAAAATAAATATTTTTTTCATGATACCTATTTCTCACGAGTGTTTTAAAGATCTCTCTGAATTATTTTCAAAATTGTTTTGTACCAAAAGAAACTTATCTTTTACTTTCATTTTCATGAATTTTTTAAAGTATCACCGTACATAATCCTAAGTGATCTAGACAATCTTAACTAGTAAACAATCCTAACCAAAGTCATTGGTCTCACCTGTATTAGGAGAATCAGTTCACTCAGGGAGGGTTGAGCCAGAGTCTCGTCATTTGAAGTGACTGTCATGCGTAAGAACATAGCCTACGTTGGGTAGGCTCACTATGGCAAATGGGTCCAGCCTTACCTTGCCATCCATGTACTCCAGCCACTGGAGTCCCAAGTTGGTGACGATTCTGGGGGTGCCATCATCCACTGGGTTGATGTCGATCCGGAACTGCTGAGGTGCTGCTGTCCTGACCTGTGGCGAGGCCAGAAAAGAAAACTCATCATTTCCAGAGCCCTTGAGGAAGTCTGGCCTGGGACCTGTGGACCTGAAGCGCCGAAATCAGCTGACCCTGCAGGGTGAGGAATGGGCCATGGAGATAATTTCCATCCCTTAGGAGCCCTGGGCAGAGGCCTCATGGAGAATGCTGGTTGAGCAATGTGGAAGAAAAGTGAGAGACTTCCATTTGCTACAGAAGTGGGTCTGTCCACATCCATGCCTTTGTTGGTCAAGGTCCATGTAAGCCACAATGACAATCCATGGAAGATTTTCCTGCCAGGAATGCTTGCTAAAACTTTCATGAGAGTCTGTTATAAATCATCTTGAAAATATTAATCTCAACGTCTCCAGGTGTGGGAGGTGTGCCAACTGATCTTTTTCCTGGTTTTGTTCTTTCTTGTGCTTGTGCTGGGGGAGGGGAAAGCTCTGTGATAATAAGGGACAGAAGAAATCAAGATTTAAAATACCTATGGGGACAGCCACAACAGACTGGGGGCACGAGGGCCTCTGTCACCTTTTAACGGAGTTGCAGCAACTCTCGGGGTTGGTTACGGGACCTCAGGCTGTGGAATGAAGGGATTCGTAACAATGGTCGGGAAGCTGAGAGAATCTTAAAGATTCTTCTGGGTACAAACATGTTGGAAAGGGACAGCTCCTGGGGGAAGCAAGGCATCACACTGCTTTCACAGCTGGACCCGTGGTGACGTCGATGACGCTGACAGTGACAGTTTATTGTGGTGTTCTCTCGTGTGCCGGGTCCGTGAAATGCTCTATGAGACACTTTGCTTCGGAGTGAATGCCTTTTGGATGCAAAAGCCACTTTATTCATCCCTGATGCTGCTCTAAGGCTAACAAACTCTGGCTACACTAAGGGGATTTTGTTCAAAAACAGACAATTTAGAGCCACAGGATATTAGAATACCAGATGAAAGAAAAACTCAAAGTATAAAAAGAGAAATACTGGTAGCGAGAACTATTGTCTTTTATTGGGCATTCACTAATTAAATGTGGATGGCCTTCTTCAATCCTTAGTCGATTTGAAGCTGGCGATTATGATTGTGCCCATTTTAGAGATTACAAACCATTGCTAGGCCTCTCACCTCCCTTCCTCCTTCCTTAATGATGAAGAAGGGGTTGGTGCCGTCAGAGACAGTGAAGGAGAAGCGGTCCTGGATGGAGTTGCTGCCGTCATGGCTGTAGCTAACCCGCTTCTGGTAGATGTCTTCCATGGTGAAGGTGGAGGCGAGGTGGGGATGCTGTCCGCTCAATATTCGCTCCAGGGTGCCGTGGCGTGGGGGCTGCACAATGGTGAATGTCACGGCTACTGCCTGTCCAAGAGGCAAAAAGCAAGAAGAGATAGGAAATCCATAACAGAAGGTGCATGGGTGAGTGGCAACAGCTAAGCAAGGGTTACGGAACCTAAAGTTATCTAAAATAAGGACGGTATGCGCTGATGAATCAGACTTGTAAGAGAGACTTCAGAAAGTTTGTGGAAATTGGAAGTAGAATGCAAAATTTATTTTGGTGTAAAAAGTTTCAAAATCCATTAATAATGTGCATTTTTTCTTGAACTTTCTGAAAATGTCTAATATTCGTGTACCTTCAGTTATAACATTAAAATATCTAAGTTTGTTATCTTTAGGTGATACATATGGGAACGCCCAAGTGACAGAAAATTGACATTTCCAACTGTTCATTTCCTTTCCATCCATTTTTTTCTCTTTCCTTAAACACTCGTAGATAGAGCCTCGCATCCATCTGAACAGAGGCTGAGTGTTCTTTTTCCGTTGCTGCTGGAAGTGATCTTTACAAGGAAAAAGAAGCATGAAGCCTGGTCAAGACTTTCCACTCATTTTCCATCAACTTAGCATAAACTATTTAGTCCTGGTGTGGGCCAAAATGGTCCTCTGCTGCTGACCACTTCGTGGCCTCATTTTTCTCACCTGCTTGCTCACTGGGTCCAGCCTCCTGGCCACCGACCACTAAGCTGCAGTGGTCCTCAGGGCCAGGCATACTTGACCACAGTGCCTTTGCGTTCCTGGTTCTTCTGCTTGGAGAGCACTTCCTATGATCGCTTAGCGAGCTCTTCACGTGGTGTTTGCTCCAACACGGAGGAGGCCTCACGGACTACTCCAAATCAGCAAACTGCCAGGCACAGTCTCCTTTCACTTGCTTTATTTTTTGTCATTAAAAAAAAACCATCAGAACTTAAATGTTTTTCCTTCCTTTATCATGTTATTCTATTATATAAAGGTAGTAAACTCTGAAGGCCTGGAACTTTATCTGTTCTATTCACAGCTCTATATTTAGCATACAATTTAGTATGTAAGGAATATTTATAAAAGAATGAATAAAGGGCTGGCATTGTGGCATGCATGGGGCTTAAACTGCTGCCTACAGTGCTAGCACTCCGTACGGGTGCTAGTGCAAGTCCTAATTGCTCCACTTTTGATCCAACTTCCTGCAAGCATGCTTGTGAAAACAGCAAAAGATGGCTCAAGTACTTGGGCTCCTGCATGCAAGTGGGAGACGCAGAGGAAGCTGCTGGTTGCCACCTGTCCTACCATGCCGCGGTCGCCGCCTGGAAGTGAATTAGTAGATGGAATTTGATCTGTCTTTCTCTCACTGCGTGTTATTTTCCCACTCCCTCTGTAGTTCTGCCTTTCTAATAAGTAAAATGAATCTCTCTTTTAAAAAGAATTTATTTTCATTGGAAAGGCAGATTTACAGAGAGAAGGAGAGACAAAGAAAAGGATCTTCCATCTGTTGGTTCACTCCCCAATGGCTGCAATGGCCAGAGATGAGCCAATCCAAAACTAGGAGCCAGGAGTTTCTTCTGGGTCTCCCACATGGGTGCAGGATCCCAAGGTTTTGGGCTGTTCTCCACTGCTCTAGCAGGCCACAAGCAGGGATTTGGATGGGAAGTGGGGCAGTCAGGACATGAATCAGTACTCATATGGTATCCCAGCCCATGCTAGGTGAGGATTTCAGCTACTAGGCTACTGGGCCAGGTCCTAATCAATTTTTTTATTTTTAAGAATGAGTAAATGAGGGCCTGGCGGCATGGCCTAGCAGCTAAAGTTCTCACCTTTAACATGCCAGGATCCCATATGGGCGCCGGTTCTAATCCTGGCAGCTCCACTTCCCATCCAGCTCCCTGCTTGTGGCCTGGGAAAGCAGTCGAGGACGGCCCAAAGCTTTGGGACCCTGAACCGTGTGGGAGACCCAGAAGAGGTTCCTGGATCCTGGCTTCAGATTGGCATAGCATGGGCTTTTGTGCTCACTTGGGGAGTGAATCACCAGATGGAAGATCTTCCTCTCTGTCTCTCCTCCTCTCTGTATATATGACTTTCTAATAAATAAATAAATCTTAAAAAAATGAGTAAATGCGTGAGTGTTGGGCAGTGAAGAGGGCACAGAGAACTAATTAGTAAGTGTGGTGGGATGCTTTTATGGGTGTTAAATCACATCAAGAATGCCAAGTACTTCCATCTGGCAGCAGCATGAGGCTGAGTCCTGTTTCACTCTGTAAAGTCTTGTCTTTGAGGATGCTCAAACTGTAATACTAAGTTGTCATTAGTGAGGTCTGGATAAAAGAGGTGATGGAACAGAAGTATACAGAAACAGAAGGCCCCAGTTCAGTCAAACATGAGATAAAAACATTGGATAGGAATCCGGGAGCATCTAGGAATCTGGAAAGATTTTAAAAGCACTAAGCCACATTTTCTCCTCAACCTCCTCCCCCCCACCCCAACACTTCTTTGTTGGTGTTTGCAGTGTCGTCCACCCTAGGTATTGTTGATGGATGGAATACACAGGCACAAAGCAAGAGCTGCCATCACCCAGTCCCTCACCCAGCCAGGTAGCCCAGGGACCGTGCATACCTCGGTGTCTGCATCCACAGCCTGGAGCTCAAACTCTGTGATCATCTTCCTCATGCCCTCCTGCACCCGCATCCCCACATTCTGCACGACTGGCAGTGAGTCATCCACAGGGTTCAGTGTGATGTGGAATGTCTGCGTCACCTAGGATGGCAGAAACATGCAGTCAGCACACCTGTGTGCAACACCCACCAGCTAGAAGGTAGGTGTTCTCTCCTACTCTCACGGTTCTTGGCATGATTAACGAGCCAGACCCCCGAAATGGAGCACTCTGGGTTAGAGCCCAGGTAGCTGTCAGAGACTGAACAAGAGAAATGAAGCTCTCAGACCCTCAGCTGCTCTGCTCAGTCTTCAAAGGGGATGCAGAGGAATCCCACCCACCAACAATGGCTTTCTGTCGCACCCTTACCTCACTGATGCCATCACTCAGCGTAAAGGTGAAGGTGTCTGAATGATTCTCTGTCTCACTGGAGTGGATATACTGAACATTTCTTGAAGTCAGATCAGCCTGAGTGAAGGAACTAATCTGGATACCTAGAGGAAGGGGAAAAAAAAGCAGAGGAAGGGGTCCAATGTTAGGTATACCTCCAAGGCTGGAAATACCATACTCTTAGTAGACATAGGGACCGTTGTGTTTTTCCTATAGCGTTTATGTTTTCAAGGACCTTGTGTTAGAGTTGTTTGTGAATTTTCCTCCCGTGCCAGCATATGTTCTGTGGAAGCAAGTGTTAACTTAATTATCGGGACATCCACTATGTGCCAAGTCAACAGCAGGTGTCCATGCTACTCCCTTTCTCTGGAGGTTTGTGTGTGCAGGTGAAATCTGTGAAAGGCAGATGCACCACCTTATTCTGCAAAAACCTTTTGCTTTAAGTTGTAGATTTCTCCTTAGCCTCACAGTCCTTTCTGAAAATCTGCTCTTTGTTTTAATGTTGTGTGCTCGTTTAGATTCTGAGCACTGGAGTTATAAAAAAGCCTGGCTGCACTCAGCCTTGTTTCTGATTGGTGAGGCGTCCCTGACCTTCATAATCTCACTGGATATTTGTCAAGGTTCTATGACTCTGCTTCTCATATCCCACATTAGCCAGTCAAGCAGGAACAAAACTTCTTGCATGACTTCTGGGTTTGAGCAATCATTCTACACCACACTGAAGATGACCCAGAAAAACAGTATCCTTTAATAACATGCTATAGAAGAAAATGTTGATATTTTCTAGCACCATCTTAAACTGAACAAAGGACATAATTCTGAAGTGATATCTAAGTTATGGTGAAGTGTTCAGCAAACGAACTGCAGCTTTATGTTTTTAGGCACCTGACAACATATTGCAAAAACAAAAAAAAAGTCCCAGAATTCTCATCTCTATCTGCTGGGGTTCATACTTTGATGTCAGAAGAGATGGAAATAAAATTTTATCTTTTAGTCCCTTAGTACTGCTTTCTACGTTCCGATACTTAGTGTTGGGATGTAATTGACTTATTTAGTTTAGCTCTAAAAATTCATAGCTGTGTTCTGGGATTTATTATTTGTCATTATTAATCTTAGCTAAGCCAGCTAGGGTTTTCTTTTAGCAATAATTTTTTTTTAATAAAAGGTTGTGCTTTCTCTCTATATTAAAGTGTGATGTCAATGTCACTGCTTTCTCTTTAATGAGAAGACAATCAACCTTCATAGTTTACCTTGGCATCTTACTTTACCCTCTGAAATTTGGCATGTACATATGAGAGCCTCCTGGATACTGGGGCATTATTTTTTGGATGAGGCATTTTATATTCCTCTGCTTGCTTCATCAGTTCTCGACAGGCAAGAAATGTAGCCCCTTGCCTTGGAGTTTTGTTTTGCGATTCTGGACTGAAATCCATACCATTCTTTAAAAATTTAATAACTTCCGACTGGCTGCACTGAGAAATTTAAATCTCTTCCCCCGCTGTGAATTCATCCTCAGAGCTCCCCAGGAGAACACGTGCCTGGATTCACACAATCCCCTGGCCACCTAATTCTCTGTTCCCTTTGCATGAGTCTAGGACTGATTAGCAAGGGTGACAGATTTTGATCTTTCTTGGGGAGGAAGCTCCGGGATTAATCGCCTAAAACGTTTCCCATTGAGTTGAAACTGACCTGTAAGATGCACATATTTAGAGTGCACACTTTTACTAGATTTTGCATACCCATGAAACCATCTTCTCAGTTGAAATAGTGAAAATATCCATCATCTCAACTGAACTTTCAGGTCCTTTCATCCTTCCACGCATTGCCCCCTGCCAACAAAGTCCAAAGCAACCAATGGCACACTTTCTGTCACTATAGATTAGTGGGTATTTGGTTAATGGTCCCTGTTTTATGGCTTTTAAAAAAATATTTTATTTTTATTGAAAAGTCAGATTTACAGAGAGAAGGAGAGACAGAGAGACAGGTCTTTTGTCCTGTGGTTTACTCCCCAAATGGCCACAATGGCCAGAGAAGAGCAGATCTGAAGCCAGAAGCTAGGAGCCTCTTCCAGGTCTCCCGTGAAGATGCAGGGTCCCATGGCTTTGGGATGTCCTCAACTGCTTTCCCGGGCCACAAACACATAGTTTGATGGGAAGCTGAGCAGCTGGGATACAAACTGGTGCCCATATGAGATCCTGGTGGTTACAAGTCAAGGAGTTAGCCACTAGGCTATCATACTGGGCCCCTGACTTATGGCTTTTTTTTTCCTTTTGTATAATAATTCTGAAATGTATTAATATTGAAGCATTCTTTTTCAGGTTTTTAAAGTGTATCCATTTTTATTTATTTGGAAGGGCGGGAGAGGAGAGAAAGATTAAGTGATCTTCATCTACTAATTCATTCCCCAACTGCCCAGAATAGACAGGGCTGGACCAGGCTGCATCCAGAAACTCAACTGGGATCTGTCAGGTGGGTGGCAGGAACTCAAGTACTTTGAGCCATCACCTGCTGCCTGTTGCAAAGTGCACTATTACGAAGCTGGATTAGGAAAAAACGTAGTACTGGAAACTAACCTCTCTGATAAGGGATGAGGTTATCGAAGCAGCAGTTTGTCTCCCTGAAGCATTCCTGTTTATTGCTAGGAAGATTCTGTTGTGTGGTTCTCTCATTTGTTAAGCCATTCACCTGTTGATGAGCATCTGGGCTACTCAGCGGTTTGGGGCTTTGCAAATAAAGCTGCTATCATTACTTGAACACAGGTCTTTGTATGGACGTGTTGTTACTCTTCCTGGATGAATCATTGGGAGTAGAATGGCTTGGATATATGTTGTGTATGCTTAATTTTTCAGGGCACTGCCAAACTGTTTTTCCAAAACAGCAGAAGTATGTGAATTTCTCTGTTCTTGGGCTCAGGGAGACTTTTCCAGTTCAATGAAGTTCAGCTCAGCAGGACCTTTCCTGGTTCAATCTAGCAAACATTGAACACCTACATAGATGGGACATTGTTCCAGGCTTGATTATATTTGCTGATTTGGGGAGGTTACCCAATACTTTCTTTTTCAAAAAAATTGTTATGACAGAGTCATCAAATTATCTGTGCAATTAGAAATGATGTGACCGATTCAAGGTCACAGAGCTAATCAAGGTACAGGGCTGGGTTCCAAACATCAGGGAGTCTAATCCCAAAGCTTATGCCTTCTTAGAGCCTTTTTCCCTTCCAGTTTCATATTGAAAAGGAATATATGAAAAACCCAAAAAGTATGAAAAAATGACACAACCTACCCCTAGCCCTATCCCTGAACTATCAGCATAGTGATTTTGCCAAACTATCCCTTCTATAACACTTTGGCATCTGCTATTTCTTCTCTGAAATATTAATTTTGATGGGATTTAGTATTATTATAATTATACAGATAATGACATGTCAACAGTTAATAAGTTGCATTGGGAATACCAGTTTTGAGGGGACAAAGATTTTTCTTTTTTTTTTTTTAACTTGAAAGATCAAATCTATTTAGAGAAAACAAAACAAAACAAAAACAACCCTACAGTCTCAAGGATTATATTTTACATGTCAAGATATTGCCCAGGTAGTAAATATACAGTTTACATATAATTTCCAGAGACAATATTTCTACACAAATTTTAGATGTTTTCAGGAGTATAGAAATCAATCCCAATTTCCATTTTAACAAGAAGGCAGTGTGGAAGAGAGGGAAACAACAGCTTTTTTGTTTCCAAGTATTTGGAAAGAGTCGACAGGAAGAGGGCAACTGGCCTTCCATTATTTAAAATGAATGATTTAAAAGACCCTTTCAGGCAAGTACAGCATGAAATGAAGCCACATTACAGTATGCTTCTGAAGAAAAGACGGACTCCCAGTGAAACTGTTAAATATATCTTGATAATAGCATGCTGGACCTTCTACCATTGTCTGTACCTACAAATGTTTTTATACACTTAAATAGAAGAATGATGAACTTATGACTGTTGATGAAGGACTATACAGCTGTTACAATATAGGGGAAATCAGTGGGTTGGGGGAGAAGGGAGGTTGGGAAGGTGGGAGAGGAAATCCCTGAGCCTAAGCAATTATATCATGAAAAATAAAAGTTGAAAATTAAAAAAAAAAGACCCTTTCAACCTTGGTTAGTATCTCTCAAAAAACAACAAAAGCCTTATGTGCCGCTACTAGCCCATCCATGGCAACTATTTCAGGGCAATTCACTTGGTTTGTCTCTAGTCTACTGAGTGAGCATGTCATTATTCCCACTACCGGACTGCACACGGCCCTGCAGGGATGCTGGCTCTTTCTGCCTCTTCACTGAGTGCACCTGGAAGGCGTCTGGAACAGCACAGGTGTCCCTGTTCATCACTGTCTGTGAGGTTCTACAGGACATTTGCAACTGCTACACATCTTTACTTTAAAATTCCACACCCTTTTAATTGGGTTTTCAGAGACAATACTATGTGCCAGTGGAATAGTGTTTCTAATAACAGACTATCTGTCCTGGCTGTCACAACAGGCCATTGAGGTTTGAGATAACTCAAAGGTTCTGAATTCCCACACTGGTGTGTGCAGTTACCAGCCTGCTAGTAAATTATGTAACTTGCACTGTTCTGAGGTCCCACATGAATCCTGCCAGCCATTCTAGTTCCCAGAAGGGTGGTATGTTGGAGCATGGGCAGCCCAGGTCAGCAGAGAAGACCAGATGAATAAGGCATCTTGGCTGACATCATCTCCATAGGGATAAGGTGGTGCTGCAGCCACCTGCTCTCCATCCAGCTGAGGATTCTGTCGGCATGGCCTCATCTCATGCCCAGGCGTTAAGAGACTCAACCTTGCTGCTTCAGTCTCCTCCAAAGCCCCTTGCTGTGGCTGCACTGCGGCTTCCCTAAATTCATGTTAATGTCCCAGTGCCTCAGAAAGATCTGCTTGGCAAGCAGTCATGGCAGATGTCACTAGAGCACATGACAACTTTACGGCAGGTCCTAATCCAGATTGATAACACAGAGCGAAAGGGAAGTTTGGAAACAGACACAGATGCTGAGAGAAAGCACTGTGTGAAGAGGAAGAGAGCTGTCGACGAGCCCATGAGAAAAG